ATTAATTTTATTATCGGTATACAAGTACGAATTTTTATAGTGAATGTGTTTGCATTTTAAAGAAAAAATCCAATGTAGCAAAATATGTTACAATTAATTTCAAAAATAATTGTAACAGGAATTGTGATAATAACAAATACTTTTGTATTACTCTTTTGTTTGTTTAAAAGTTAAACAAACAAAAGAGTAAAGTTGAAAAATATTCTTTTATTATTTATATACCTAACAATTATTCCCAGTATGTAGAAACTGCTTATTTTAATATCCAGGAACTGGCTAGGAATTATTTATTTTACTAGACAAGGTCTAGACAAAATAACTGTACAAAATCTTAACGTTGCTAGCGTCACATCCCTCGTTCAATCCTGTCCATTTTTCCCATCTAGTTGCTAGATTGAATCTAGCGCAACTGGACAGTTTCTCATACTCTTCAACGGTAAATTTCTACACGGGATATATGAAAAAAGGTAAGCTTTCGATTGGGATAGGTTACAAAAAAATAAAAAACACTGATTTTGAGATACAGTAGAACTTGGTTAATACGATTCTGTAGGGACCGCACTAAGAATGCGTATTATGCGGGAAAACGTATTAGGTGGGATATAAAATGTGTGTCTTGAATTGCAGGGACCACCATAAATGAGCGTCTTAAGCGAGAAATCGTATTAAACGGGATCGTATCAACCGGGTTCTACTGTATATTGAAATTAAGAATTTGACCTTGAAATTCAAGGTCAAATTGACAGAAAACAACTTTTTTCATCACCAGCTTATAGCCCGTGAAAACCCCTTTAAAAATCACTATTCATACTTTAAATTTGATTAATTTCACTTATCAATATATTAAATCGAAAAAAAGATATTTTCAAAAAATCAAAATTTTGAAACTCCATAACTCAAAAAATATTCTATCAAATTAAAAAAAATTGATATTTACACTTCTACTAATAATAGTAACATTTTAGAAAAGTTTAGAGAAAATTCATTTTTTTACCTGGGCAGTTGAGGAATTTTGCCCCATATGTTCGTAATATGTGGTTACGTTTTATTTTTTTACTCTGAATCCCTTTGAGATCCCAAGATGAAACTTACAGGACATGTAAAGCACATTTGCCCTAACATTTAGTAAAATTTTGAAAAAAATCGAAGATGATGTTTTTTTTAAAATTTCAAAAAAAAAATTTTTTTGAATTTTTTTTTTATATTAATTTTAACTTAAAATATACTTAAAACCAAAGAAATCCTTTTTTTAAAATCCAAAATCGGTTAATTAGAACCAAAGTTATAGCACTTTAAAAAAAAAAGACAAAAATTTTCAAAATGTCATATTTTTGGTAATTTTCAAAATTTTGAAAAAATATTTGGTGGAGTTGTTTATCACTATAAAAGTAATAAATTTACAAAAGTACAGCCAAATCCCAACAAGTCAAGATAATAAGTGTGTTGAACTGACGTGGAATCCACCACATAATGTCCATTATCTATTTAAAATTTAACCATTAGAAGGAAATTTTTTAAAAATCAGTAACCAATAAAAAACATTATTCATAATTTTACTTGTAGTTTAACATCAACATTTTTTATTTCCTTGTGGAAAAATATATAATCATCATCAATATGATAATCTTGTTCAACGTCGCAAATTTTTTCAGAGTCGGCTTCCATCGAAGCCCTGCGATATTGAGATTTTCAAAGGTTTCCTCAATAGATAGGTATATATTCTGTATCTGTTTAGGACAGTGAAACAGTAAGAACAATTCATTCTAAAAATTCAGAGAAAAAACCCTTGTGCGCTATTCAAAATTCTTTTAATAAAATTATAACTACCCAGGCGGAAAAGTCGGACCAATGTCGGAATTTACAACCGGCTGGGATCCGCGCCCGTACAGACCGCAAGTACCGACGGTCTGTACCGATTCGGATCTGAAAAAGCAACCGGCGCGGTACAGATTATGCTCCGACTGTCGGAACCGTCTTCCCACTATTGTCAGTACCGGCTCGGTACTGGATTTCTTCCGCCGGCGGATCTTATTCTTCTGCGGCGTCGGAAGAATGACGGATATGTTAAGTCTGTACTGGGTCGGTGCTGGGCCGGATCCGACTGCGGATGTCGTCATTTATTGTCACATTATAAATCACATTATAAATTTATTTTCAATAAATGTGTCATAACTAAATAATTATTACAATAATTAATTGCATTATTTTAGAAAATAATGATTAATTAATAAATGAATTTAATCAAAATATTAAGTAATTATTTATTGAGAGTTTTTTCAAAATTAAACAATTAAAAAAATTTGTTGTGCACTTATACTTTATAATTATTATAAATAAATTTATACTATTAATATAAATTTATTATTATTGAGATATTATTAATTAATATTATTGAGAATTAATAATATCTCAATAATAATAAATTTATTATTATTGTGATATTAATTAAAATTATTAATATTATTATGTTCAATATTATTATATTGAGATACAATGATTTAATATATTATATAATAATAAAAATATAGCTGTAGCATTGACGCGTAGTTATTCGACAAGTATTATTTCAGCTTGTGACACTTGAGAGTATTTAAGATTTGAGAGTCCCATGCGAGCGTAGCATTGTGGTTAGCGTGCGAGATTTCGGTGCGTAAATATTCGGTTAGGCGTAGGTTCGTACCTCCAAGCGTTAGGATTTTTCAAATGTGTATGTAATAAAAAATTACGCTTAAGTGTATAAAAAAATAAAAAAAATGTGTAAAGTGAACTGTCAATGAATTGTCATCAGTATTTATCTTTTGCAATTAATTATTATTTTTTTTATTGATATTTGTTGAAATTATCATTTGGATCCGATCCGGTTGTCAGTCGGTAGAATGCCAGCGCTCGGCTGGCTATTAAATGAAAAATCCACGGTCGGTAGAGTGCCAGGTCCCAGCCGGTTGAATTATACACGGAACGGCTTCTCCCGGCCGGTCAGCGGGCGGTAGAATGCCAGTTCCGAGCCGGTTGCCAGCGCGCTCCTGGCCTAGTCACTATTCGGTAGAATGCCCGTTCACATTCGGTTGGTAGGCGGTTCCGAGCCAGTACAGTTACACCGGCGTCAGTACGGGCTAGGATCCGCGCCGGTTGGAAATTTCCGCCTGGGTAAGAACGTTATAGACTATGCTAGTAATTTTGATTCTAGTTCTTTGTGACATCGCTGCACTTACTGCTCGTATAATTGGAACATCTTTAAATATCAAAATTGCTGCAGACTTCCTTTTATTTAATTATAGTTGGCCAACCTTCTCGTCTCTTGTTAATCAATTTGATTATAAGAATAACAATTAAGTATAAATTTGTTGCATTTAATTAGTATTAGGAGTACTTTGTACAAAAGGGCAAGTCCCGTTATTTTCAAATAAATAAATATAAATAAATAAATTTAGAAATTACTGACCAAGCCAGCTCACCTTGTGGTTCTTATTCTTTGTATTAAAGTGAAAATATCTCTCATCTTTATAAATGTATTCTGTAACGTCTACCATACTGTAATCATTTACATACTAATTATTTTTCTTATTCAAAAAATAAAATTTCAATTTCCTTTCTATTACACTCCAAATATTAACTTTTGAAATATTTCTATTTCTATGAAACAAAAATGAAAATGCCAACGAAATTATTCACTGAATACATATATTTTTAACTTTACTTTGTTTATTCTTATAGCGTCATAGTAGTGTTCCTTGTACCTGTTCATTATGCAAAAGTCGTTATGCAAAACCGGTTTTAAGTTTTTTAATTACTTCTCAAAATTCCTTTAGTTCTAGAATATTAAGAAAATGCAATTCTTAAAGTTTTTATTAAAAATTAACATTTTTAATAAATATAACATTTCATTAGAATTATAATCGAATTATTATCGCCACTTTCAACTTTTAGAGAATTGTACGTTTATATTGTCAAAAAAGCTACGTAATTCGAATACATTTTTGGAATCGAATCTTGATATTATTTTAATGATATAATTTTGGTAATCTGAACATTAGATGAAATGGTATAATGATATTATAATATGTGCATTATTTTTAATCAACTTAATGTAATATATCATACAAAGAATGTCAATGTATAATATTAATTTTCAAAGTACAAGGAAGTCATAAAATTTAATAAAGTTTTTGTAAGAAGGTACCCATATAAAAATCGATAATAATAATATTAAAGTAAAGCAATAAAAATGTAATTTATGTCGACTCACAGTGGTTTGAAATACTAAAAACGTGAATAAAAAGTCAAAAAGGTGATTAAATCTTTTTATAAATCCTTTCTCGGGGACTTTTGGCATCGCTGATTACGAATCTGATATTATTTTTCTAAAAAATAACGTGGCGAGCCCAAATATGGCATAATACAAAGGTAATTGCCGAAAACGTGGCCATAAATCAGATTTTTCAAAATTCAAATGGCGGACAAATTTTAAGAATATAATTGGATTTTTATGACACTTGGCATCTAGGGGCTTTTAGGATTGGTAATTACAAAACTGAAGTCAGATTTTCAAAATTTAAAATGTCGAAACAAAAACCAAAAATCGTAGATGTAATGTGGTATTAATAATTTAAAATAAAAAAATTTATTTTTAAGATTAATTTTTTTGGAAAAATAATTAAAATACAATAAACTTTTTAGTCAAATACAAAAATTTCTTTTCGCCCATAAGTTACTATGTTTTTTTCTCTATCTGTAATATATTAAACTCCAAAGTTACGCAGAAAAATCTACTTCTTTTAAATTTAAGTCTAACCCCTTAATTTAATCAAACAAACATGACAATTACGTGAAAGTTTTTTTTCCCCGTAATTTACTTTATAATGGATAACATTTCTATTCCGTCTAATGAATATATCTAATTTTGTATCTAACATGGTGAATTAAAATTAGTTTTACCTGTGTAATTTAAATGAAAACTAAGTAAGGTACCAACTTCTAATTAACTTTGTGTATCGTTGCAGCTAAATGAGGCTAATGGAACCATTGGGTGTTGATCTCAACGTGATTGAACCAACAGCACTAAAAAGATGGGGAGACTTTCAAACTCAGCATCATCGATTTACCGACTATTCGAGTGCTTTAGGCGAATCGGCAAATTACACTTCTAGTCCATTTCCCTGTCAATCAGAACTTAATCATAAAATAGCACTATGGTACGTTAAAGGGGTCAAAATATATGTATATATGGAGAGGGAGATAAATTTTCCATTTGCTTTTTATATAGAAATTTTTCAATTATTTTTTTCTATACCCCTTTTTAGGACTGGCGATATATCTGTTCTACAAGTGGATGCTGTTATCAATCCCACGAACGAAACAATGGACGACAATTCACTGACGTGCCAAAGAATATTTGCTCGCGCAGGACCTGGTCTTCAAAAAGAAATCTACAACGAAGTTAAAGGTAGAATTTATATTTTTTTTTGTTTGTTATTTTGGAGTTTCTATTTCTTGGTGTATTTGGTTACGTCCTAAATTGAAAATAACATTAAATAATGTAGAATTAATAGTATTTAAATTTAATTAAATGAAAAATATTCCAGTCTATATTTTCATCTAATAGCTTGGGGATACTTTCTTCTTTTTTATTTCTTTTGGTTCAATTTTATTTAAATTGACAAAATTGAATTTAAAGGGATGGAGATCGTTTTTGAGCTACATGAACAGTTCAATACTAAATTTCGGAATCACAGGTTTAACAAGAAGGGATCAAAATAAAAGGAATAAATTTCTCACGGCAAAAGAAACCGTACAGAACCTTTCCGGAATTAGGAGAATTGATAATAGTTGTAGAAAGAATAGATGAAAATTAGTAATTTTTTTACTTACTTTTTTATAAAATCAAAATTTGGATGCTATGATGTTTGACTAGAATTCAAGACGAGGTTGAGGTAAGGTTGAAAATTTAATGATTGAACTTTTAATAGTGAGAATTAATACTTGAGACTTTGAAATTTTAGATTTTAGATTAGAGAATTGGAAGGAAATAATTTTCTAACTGACTATTTCTTAAGGAACACGTATATTTATTTAACAATTCCCACTACTAAAGTTCTCAAAGGAGGAAAATTTGAGGATGAAAATATTGTAGAAATTGGGAAAAATTTTGAGTCCGTCTTATTTTAAGGGGTTTTACGCGTAGGAGAAACTTTGAAAAAGGGGCTGAAACATTTTTTTCCTCAACCTCATCTCCTTTTCCAACGATTTAAAACGATCTCTAAAAATACCTAAAGTTTGTAGTTAAATCCTGATGCTTTTTAACAAAAAGCAGCATCAGAAGTGGAATCGGTATCGAGGCAAAACTGGATTGCGTTGAACAACTCCTTTTGATTCTGCGCATCCTAGGCACTGGATTTGAAATGTGCAGAACCAGAATAAGATGATTGATGAAATTTGAGCCCTTCTTCATATAGACGCAATACTGCTTACCACACTTGGACTCGCTACTTTTAATTTAAGAGTCAGAGATAGTTTTGGTCAAGTGTTTTTAATCCTTTTGGGAACGTTCTTAGGACATTGTGTAAAAGTCATCCTAGAGATATTCCAAAATAGTTTTTAAAAGTCATTGTAAAGATCTAAAAAAGCGGACATAAAGTTCCTATGGACTACTTACAGTCGTCTTTTTCATATGCTAAAGAAACATACAGTTATCCTGAACATTTTAGACGGGGTACCCCAGATGTCAGCACCGTTTGGTTGTTCAGTAAGCCTAATATCAGCGGTCATCTCCAGGGGACCAATTTGTTCGTCCTACGGGCCTAACACACCACAGGAACCTCAGTTTGAACGCGTAACGTCTCCTTTGGTGTCCCCAAGAAGTGCACGAGGCCTATCCTCGCTAATCTCTCATTGAGGTTTTTATTATTGCAGCCAGTATTATTGCAACTAACTGCTTCTCCATTTCATTGTACATCAGTCTTCTTCCATACCAGGTATAGTCTATCTTGTTAGGAATTATTATCTTTTTTGGATTTCGATGCTTTTAAAGCGTTTTTCCATTTGCCTTTTGGCAGTGGTTGAAAGCTCGTATGCTGAGCAAGAGGCGTTGAATGTTTCTCTGAGTGAGATACAGTCCTCAACTCGGATGGTGAACTGCAGAGTCATAAGGGATCTGGATTTTGTCCAGTCTACATCAAGGGTCACACTTGGATTATTATACACTGGAGTGTCAATCGTGTCCACGTCAATCGAAGATACAGCTTGACACTCCAGTGTCATACTGGTGGGTAGACAAGAGTTATCATTCTTTGTCGTTGTTGGTCAGGCAGTCTCCTGACTCTGTTACACTCGCAGGCAAGCTGTGGAGGTAGTCCTGTATAGAAAGGTCTTTCACGTAAAATCAAGAAGGCCGCTTGAAGTTTTAGAACGTTTTTGACATGTTTTAAAGACCTTTACATCCTAGATCGTCTTTTTCATGTCCTAAAGACATGTAGAGTTACTCTAGACCGGGATTACGAATAGAAAAATTGCTTACTTAGCAGACTGCTTGTTAGTAATGTCAGAAAAGGCCCTGAGCCGGAATTACAAATAGCAAAATTGCTTACTTAACACACTGCTGGATAGCAATGTCAGTTAGAAAAGGTTCGGAATTGTTTCCAATGTAAATGATATTGCTCAGTGAGCAGCTAGCTAACATAACAATTCTGCTATTGGTAATCCCGGTTTTGGACATTTTAGTACGTTCTGCGGATATCTTTAAAATCTATCTTCTATGTATCGCTTATGGCTTTTTTTCATGCCCTAATGACATGAACACCCTAAACTGGTACCTAATTTTGAAAGTTCAATTTTAAAATTAAACATTTCTTTTGTTTAAAACCAACAGAAAATTTTGATAAATTAAGTGGGTGCTGCTAACTGGTTGCCACTTTCAGCTTCATAAAGAAAATTTTATAGTTATTTTAGACTTCTTTGAATACTTTTAGGATATCTTTAAAACATCTACGTCCAAGGACTACTTATGGTCGCCTTTTTCACATCCTATAGACATTTAGAGTTACTTTGGACATTTTAGGACGTTCTTAGGATATATTTTAAATAAAAATATATAAAAATTATAAAATTTAATAGTAAATAATCATCTTTTTAGTAACCGGATTACCGGAAACATCATCTAAAGCATACCTTCTTATTTCTGTCTTGTAAATAAGAAAACCGGATAATTAAATGTTTACACAATATTTGAATACTTTTGTTCACCAGAACTTGCAGAAAATAATTTTTACGACTTTCTTGTAAAACAATAAAAAAAGTAGTAAAACCACTGGTGCAATTTTCACGTTGATTTAAACGTATATTTATTCCTTCAGGTTTTTTTCTTTAACGGTACTTTTTAAAAACCTCTAAACTTAATTTACTTTTTGTCTTTCAACTATTAGAATGAGTATAAAATAAAAAATGCAATGAAGACTATTCGGACGAAATATAAAAAAACACTAAATTATATAATAGATAAAGTTTTATTAACTAATAATTAGCTCTAGATTCTTGTGTTTTTAAAGATGAATGTAAATGTATTTTCTTAGAAAACTCTATTTTTTTCTCCTAACTGTATCAATAATCGCTTTTATGTTAATCGATGACAATAAATAGAATCAATAATTTACAGAGTGCAGAACGGGTGAAGTAAGGACGACGCAGGGTCATGGTTTACCGGCCCGTTTCATCATTCACACAGTGGGGCCATTATATAATACCAAATATCAAACGGCAGCGGAAAACACATTACATTGTTGTTACAGGTAAAAGGAATTAATAAATAAAATTTTTTATTCGGGTGAAAAAAAATGTACTTTATTGATTTTAATTTTTTGCAGAAATGTTCTTCAAAAAGCAAAAGAACTCGGATTGCGTAGTATTGCCTTGCCTGTTATTAATTCGGTTCGACGGAATTATCCACCAAATGAAGGAGCACATATAGCCCTGAGTAAGTAGTAGCCTTGCATAACAAAATGAAAAACACTTTGAATAATGTAGTATGGATGCACTAAATAATACTGTGGATACAATGTTCTTTTCTAAAAAGAGTAAAATTCTTATTGATTTTAAATTCAAACAGGAACGGTGAGAAGATTTTTGGAACAATATTCGGATTATATAAGCTGCATCGTTTTTGTGCTCGAGCCCTGTGATTTAGGAATTTATGAAGTTCTTTTATCGCTTTACTTTCCACGAACACCATCGGAAGAGGAAAATGCATGTTGGCAATTGCCAACTGACATTGGAGGAGTCGATGGAGAACCACAATTTCCAGATCGTCAAATTAGAATTATTGACAATCCACAACATGCTCTTCATGCAACTGACGGTAATTCATTTCTCTTTCTCCTTATAATTACAATCACTTTTTTAATTTTCTCATTGGACGATTCAAATTAATTTTTGATGCTTCAATTTAATTTTTCTTAAAAATGTTTCATAAAAATTAATTCGAAGCATCCAAATGTCTACTATCTATAAATTCTAGAATAAGAAATATATTTTGCTGAAAGGCAGGGGAAATGTATGCTTTTTTGGCAAACAGATCAATAACTAGACATTCCTCTTATATGGATCTATTTTTTCTAAAGTTGCTCTATTATTTTTCTTTAGGGGAGGAAAATCTTATTTATCTTTCTCTGAAAGTTTCTTCTCTCTGGGTGAATTAATCGTTTTTTATGTTTCTATTCAAAGGGGGTCTTCCCCTATAGTATTCATGAATTTATAGTTATTTACCAACCGGGGAATATTTTCTGCATGTGATAAAGTTAATAAAGTAGATTTCTGCATTTAAAGCTTCTGGAGACAGAAACCTACTTTAACTGAGAATGTAAAGGCGAATATTAATCTTTTGTAGATAAAGTGGAGAACTACATAATTTTTAAATTGTTTCTACTTAGTATGTTTAAATTCCAACTGTTTTTTTTTATTTCAGCAGACGAAGCGGTTGATTTGACCTCGCAATTGGAAACATCGATTAGCCTCGGTGATCATGCTTTCACCCAAATGCAAGGTGATTTGGATCGACAAAGACTGTTAGGAGAGAGACCTCTTACAGATCCTCTAGCTGATTTGCTCAAGCAGATGCAACACAAAGAACGGTGAGTTGTATCCTATTTTTAGGAATTTGCCACTCTTTGAGTTTATTTATTGGTGAATTTAAGGACTCTAGAGGATATATTTTTTTCTTATTGAAGAAGCCTAAATTTTCATAGCAAGAAATAAATAATCCGAAGAAAAGACATCAATAATATTTAAAGGAGATCCCAGAGTTTCCTCTAGAGATTTAGACCAACTTGAAAGTATGTTCCTAGAGGTAATGATGGTGATTTAAACTCCCCATGGAAGCAGCGATGAAAAATTCAGGCAGATCCCTCATACCCAGTAAATGCTGCTGTGGACTTTAGCACATCTACATGAGCTGAAAACTTTTTTTCGAAGTACAAGGAACAATAGTCAAGATTTTTTATTTTTACTCAAGACTGCTAATGGAATAACTATTTCTTCAACATCTTTTAGCAACTTTAAGCTAATTCATAGAACAAAATTGTCACAAAACAAAATTTTGTCTAATTCACCTTTCCATTTGTTATTCTTGTACAATCTGAGGATAAGCAGATATAATGCAGTCAAAGTTTAATATTAAAAAGAAAAAGAAAAAATAATCTTCTTCTGCAAAACGTTCCTGGTCATTTTAGGACTAGAAAGACATTTTAGTTCCTGCTGGGTTAACTACATTATTTGCAATAAACCCTAACAACAAAATATTCCAAGATTTATGACGTTTTAGTCATATCCGGAAATTAGAACACCCCTGTTCTTAAGATATTCATAAGCATCCCTCGAACATTCTACAGATATCATAATTTCCGGATATCCTTAGTACGTCCGTAACAAAACCTAAATGTCCGAATGATGTTGGGGAATCACTAAAACTATACCAAGAAATTATCTAATTATTAAATTTCAAAAAGTATTAAAAAATCCCTGTCCGTAAACTTGATCAAAAATGCATTGCGAATATTACAATAAGCTAAACAGAGAACCCAACTGCATTCATTCTTATCTAACCTTTCTATTTTCATTGAAACTAGAGCATGACCTTTAATTTCAAGTTTAATGGTCTTTCAATTTCTATTAAATGAGATCGATGAACGAAAATAGCGAACTTTACACATTTTCACCTTCGTATAAGTTCAAGACAAAAAAAATTACATATTTGACGTCAATATATATTTGAGACATGTGAAAAAGCAAACTTGATTCGAGTCAATGACAAAAAAAAGAGGAAAAGTTTTATGAACGTCAATAAAAATAGCTCGCCGTGAGCTTTAAATAAACTCACTGGTATTAATAATAATAATACAATCCTCTCTGTGAATTGCGCTTATGATGACCTCAAAACCTTTAACAACCCTTCTTTGGCGAATAATAAGATTTTAAATCTAAATAATTAAGCAGGTAGAGAAATTTTATGTACTTAAAAATATTTTAAGGAAGAATATGTGACATATGATAATTGACGTAACAATTATCAGATGTACAAAATTTTACAAATAACAAAGACGTAGGTGGAACGTTTTATCTTAAATGATAAATTTATGTTTATTTATTATCCATTTATTTTTAATTTTTCTCTACTAAATAAAGACTACATTATTTTTTATTACTAAGAAAGTCAGTAATAATTTAAACTTAAATTATTGATTGCGTCACAGTATCCCAGGAATGAATTACTTGCTTCCTGACTTGTGAAAATTCGATTTATTAACTATTCAATAAAGCAAATTATAATTTAATTGAACTTCTACTTTTTTACACTGATTACTTTTCTTCAATACAAAAATAAATTTAAGCTTTAAGATTTTACTTTTAAAGATTTGAAAATAAAATATTTAGGAAGCAAATTCTCAATGGGATTATACTATTAATGAATTATAAATACATAACAATTAATTAAAACCTAGGAACTATATTTCAATTGTTCAGTATAATATTTGGACAGTTAAATGACAAAAATTTTATTACAATATTGATATACAAATACGCACGGTATACGTTTCATAGACCTTCAAATTTTATCTTATCTGGCAAAATCCCAAAGATGTATTATTTAGAAACTTTCTTTTAAAATAGAAAAACGTTTTTTATTTGCCGTGGTTATTGGCATCGAGTGAGTGTAAAATCTTTAATGCTCTACTTGCAAATGTCATTCACCGATGAATAATAAATAAGGATATTAACATTATAGTTTTATGTCCTAATTTAAAAGAGGAAATATTATTTTTAAATTTAATATTTCTTTTTAACTCTAAGCTATAAACTTATTTTTCTCTAAACAATCCTATATGAGCGTTAGGGGTATGAAAAAATGGACATTTTAAATTATTATTATCATCTGAATCAAAAAAATCAAAATGAATTTGTTAGAGAAGATGTTTGAGAGGATTCCTTTTTTGCAACTTTCAAATTTTTTGTAGCACTTTGAGACCTAAAAACAGATTTTCGCTAAAAAAAAACTTCCAGTAGATACCTAGGGAATTATATGAAGAAGTATAGTGCCAACTTTCAAATCGATTGAAGATATAAAGAGCTTTCGTCAAAGTAATCTGGAGCTCTTATTGGACTCAAAAAACTTGGGTCCAAGTTTCTGCCGCTTCATTATTGGAGTTTCCTTGAATTTTAGTTAAAAGGTCTCTCTTTTTTGTAGGCCTTACTGCTACAACTTTCATGTGGCTGATGTTAGGTATCACCTCCCAGCGGAGCTTGCCAAGCACGTCGGCATAAAATTTTCCTCCGGCGACTCTAATCAGAATTGTTGATTCTCTCGTTGCCTTCCGATTAATTTTCTTAGCATGTGCTTCCTCTTTTTCTACATTCTCTAATTTCTTCTACTTGTAGTTCTTTGTTCCAAACCCTTAGTCTTTTCAAACTAGTAGTGACCTGGAATTCGGTGATACCAATCTTGCTAATTGGATGTCCTTTAGTGAAAAGCCCCACCACCGCGTCAATGTTTATCAAAAATATACAAAGTTCACCAATCCTAGAACAAAAAGTGAGATTTTCGGTTGCAGGACTGATCACTTGGTGTAGTGACTTAAAATTCGGTGAATCCATTCTTGATGTTTAGATGTCTTTTAGTGGAAAGCTCCGCCACCATAACAAGTTACATTAAGAAGTTCTTGATAGAAAAGTGGATCGAAAGGCGCACATCACTCTTGTCAACATTTGTGTGCCTTGACTTTACTTCTTTAACGAGGTTCTCAAGAATTTTAAGACTTTATCGTCATATTGACGTTCTTCTGGTTGTTACAAGATTTGACAATCTTTGCGACTTCTTCCTTAATTTTTTGCAGATATTCTGCTTATTTTCTTAACGAAACTTCAAGAAGTTGTGCGCCCCTACAATCCGTGCGCATTTAAGCACCAGTCGAAGAACTGGCGGTGAGATTTCCCGTTTCCGGTCTGCTCACATGGGGTACTGTATCTGAATTTGTACAATTTATTTATTCTTTTCTTGGTCAAGATGTCAGTCATGTTTAGCAGTGGAAAAGCACTGACCAACATATCGATGACATCTATAATTTTCGGTAATTGACAACCATCGGCGGGACCAATTAATTTTATTAGCCGAAATTAATTGTATAAAATGATTTCGGAGATGATATCATTACCGAAAAAATACACAACCAAAAATCTTTAACCCCAGAGCTGGAAAAGTAAAAAAGGAGTCCAGAAAAACATTGTTTTGTATTCTAGCACTAAAACTTGTAGGACCATTCCTCACTTAAAATAGTTTTTGGTACATTCTACAGAATCCAATTAAGGATAATTTCAGTACCTCTTCCTTTAGGTAAGGGAAAATTGATGGGGCGTAACAGACATCCCTTATGCTACTAAGCTGCCCTTCAGATATATTTCAGCAGGGGTCAAGTTGTGATATTTTCATTCGTCAATTAACATGTGTACGTGCTATCTAATCAGAATCTGAATGGTCTTATTTTTAGTCACCGTGAAGATATTATCAAAAAGTATTTTTAAATGTATCCCACAGTTGAATTGTTTATTCATATAAAAATCTTTTTTGTTACAACTCGTGACGATGATGAAAAGAACTCTTGGTAAATAGAGATCTTAAATGTAATCCGTTTAAAGACTCAATTTGCGTCATTAGAATAACTCAATCACATTTTTAACATCTTGAAAAACTTTAATTGCGTTCTTATTCTATACTTCAAGATCGATTTACTTAATTGTCATTTCAGGAATGTATAAATTCAAACCTGTTTGAGATTATTAATTCTTCATGTTCGTTTGAACAAGAACATAATAAGAAATTTAAAACATTCAGATCATTTTCTTAACACTCTGTAATTTTCTTTCGTCATTGATTATTCATACCTAGTAAGTTATATTTCCGCGTCATTCCATTGTAAAGTATTTTCTGTACGAACAAACAATTTTTGCATTAAAGAGTAGAAGCGTGATCTATCTTCAGATGCAAAAGAAAATTATTTTTCACTAAGAATACGTCGATAAATTTTAAATTGATGATAAAAATGCGAGCAAAATTATTTTAATTTTTTTTATAAATATTTGATACAGAAGAAATGTTACAAATTGAAAATAGAATTATAAAGTGTACGTTATGTGTCAGAAATATTTAGTACATAAATTATTGTCGCTTTAATATCAACACTTCTGAAACAAGTAGCACGTAGACAAATGCACTTTTAGTCTTTTAGTAAACATTACTTGCGTCAATGAGATAAATTCTGATATGAAAAAATATCCACTGTAATTACGTTTTTTTAATATTGTTTCAAAAATTCCATTGTTTTTTTTATTCACTTTATTATTCTCATAATTATTCATATACTTTCCTTGTTTATGTTGATGATTTATTTTTAGAGATGTGGTGTAGAGAGATATATTAAAAACAAGTCCTTAGGTAGAGCAATATTGATTACGTTTTTAATAGAATAATTCTCAGAGGTACATGGGTGCTTTCTTGCAGTTTTAAGAATGCATTACGTGCTTGCAAAATTCTCTGAAAGATAATAACTATTTTTAAATTTCGTTACATACATACAGACAAAGGAAATTGCAATATTTAAGCAACGCTTAATCGTTAATTGCATTTTAAGATGAATCATCATCTGTCGTGCATGCAGCAAACTTTCTTTATTTTGCTAATGACTTGCAAGTTAGCCAGCAGTTTAATTTAGAATTATTGATGAATCATTACAAATTAGATTACGTTACATTAGAAGAAATTAAACATTGTTTTTGTGCTTTGCTTTAGGATTTCTTCTAAACATCTTTTGGATATTCGGTTAAATACTTATAAGTAATAGCTCAGAAGTTCACCTAAGAAGTTTTTATCTATGTGCTGGTGTTTAGGATCCTATTGAACACACTTGTTCGAAATACGTTTGGAGGATTTCTTTTAGACATCTATTGGGTATTTAGTTATATGGACAACAAGAGTTTTAACACTCTTTCGGATAAATTTTTTGATGTTGTTTACAAAGTCTTCTGACATATTTTCGGTTGCTTAGCGTCTTAGCATCCCAGTGGACATTGGGAACTGGTTTATTGTTGGGAGTCCTTATGATATTTTTAGGACCTACATGTTCGTTCAAAAGTAGTTCTGACGACGTCTTAGATCATAAAGACGTTTTTTCGGATATCTTAAGACACACATTTTTTTTAGAACGTCCTTTAAACAGACATAGATTTCCTAAAGACATTCTATCTCCCAATGTCCTCTGGGATGCTTTATGAAGAAATGAACGTCCTTTTAATATTTCGGTTTGGTACTAAATGGAAATAACTTGCAAGATAAATTAAAATTGTGATCCTAGTGTCTTCTGAAATTTTTTTGGGTGTCTTTTAGGCGTCTTTTGATGCAGACATTGAAAGACTTCTAGATAATTTTCAGTTGTGTTTGTCTCTGGAATAGTATTGTCACTTTTTCAGGGTATCTGCAAAAGAAGAAGTCTTTCTAATGATTCAATAACTGGAATATTTTTGCAGCAACGTATATAAAGGAAAGATCAGTTTCAATTTAGAAAAACAATAATTCCTCAATTTTATAAAAATTAATACATCTTAAAGTTCACATAATGAGGACGCTTATGGAAAAAAGCAATTTCTATGCAGACAACGCTTTTTTCAAATAATAATATCTTTATTCAAATTTAACACAACTCTTTTTTGCTCCATCCAAAAAAAAGAATCTCTTCGTTAACCTAATTTCCATTTTCTGCGGATCAAAAATTCTACACATCTCTTTAATTTCAAAAAGAGAAAAAAAAGAATAATTTTTTACGCTCGCTAAGGAATTAAAGGTACAATGACTACGAGAAGGTTTCATCGAGAATCTGGAGCAGGCGCGTTATTCACCGGATTGACGAAGCACGCGCAAACTATGCAAGGAAGCGGCTCCGAGGCCGGCAAAGTGGTTTTCACATAGTGTAGAGACGATAAACAACTAACAAAACCAAAAGCATATAGTCAACGAACAGACGTCAGTAAAGACTGAATCTCCAAAGAACTTGCGACTTGTCTTGACTGACTGTCACTCCTTTCAGTTTAACGCGAACCACCCAAAGTGCGGCACAGCGTTTGCAAATAAATTTAGATCAGTGAATCGTAATAAGCGTGTTCTCTCATCAAAGACACAAACACACACCCGTCATATTGTAGCCCCTCTTATTGACAAGTGCTCTTCCTCGTGAAAATTAATAACGTGTTTTCCACAATTTTACCAGTGACAAATTAGTATTTATAATTCACACACAACGTCTCATTTTTAAGTGGACAAAATTAGCAGTATGGTAATGATTCACATGGATGACATTGTCGAAGAGGAGAATAAGTGCGTATCTAAAATCTCAATGGTGACTCTGAATTTTTTATTTCTAATTCTCATATTTTCAAAAAGAAAAAAATTTCTCTGAAAAAAGACTATTTTTTCGAGAGAAAATCTTTTAGATTTGATTAAACTTTTTGTTTGAATCGATGCATATCCAAAACTCCCAATGGAAACTGAATTTTTTACTTTTAATTCTAACATTTTTCAAAAGAAAAAAAATTCTCTGAAAAAACAAAAAGACTATTTTATTTTTTTCTGAAGACAATAATTGTCTTTTAGGTTTTATTAAACTTCTTATAAAACTTCCAAACTATTTTTTCTCCATATTATGTAAAATAAGGAAAAAAAATGTAAATAGTGCAGAAAAAAAGAATTATTGTTTAGAAAAAAAAGTTAATTGCAAATTAATGAATGAATACAAATGGAAAAAATTGTTATGATGTAATTTAGGAGCAATAAAAAAAGGTGCAAAAAAATCGAAATTTTCTCCATTTCTGTAAAGTTTCTGTGTGTAATGCATAATAATTGAAAAGTGACTTAAGAAGCCGATGTAAATTTTAAAGTTATCCAATTTGAGTCCTTAACATGTTTAAAGCAGCTTTGAATACAATGCCAATGTTTGTTTACATAAAACAGAACCGTTTTTCGATCAGGTACGCAATTGAACGTGTTTAACGAATACTAATTAATTTAGTACAATCGTTAAAACCTTGAATTTTTCCTCCTACAAATTATATAATCATAAATAATAACAAACGCAATTTTTATTATTCCAATATGTATGTCAGGATCGGATTTTTTTACCATATCAAGCAATTGTGGATTGAAAATCAGTTCAAAGAACAAATAAATAATTTAACATTTCCTTAAAACATATTTTTATACTGCAAGACAATTTTTCAAGAAAATATTTTTCTATTTTTCTTCATTCTTTCTTCTCTTGTTTTTGACTTCTCAAAACGTAGTAAAATAAAAACAAAAGAAAGAATGGAATTTTTGAAAATTTCATTGACTTTTATTATATGAAAAATAAATTTTAATCTCAATATTATTCTTTTTTTATTGACTTAAGAGAAAAATGCTGTATTCGTGACCTTTACAACGGAAGAAAATGTCATCAAAATTTCCTTAATTATGACTTTCATGAAATCGCTCTCTCCATCTCCGTAGAGCTTATAAATATTATAGATAAGCTCCCGATAAAGAAGCAATTGCGTGTATATATTCCTCTGTTCTCATAATTAAATCGACAAAGATCATAAGTTTCTCAAGGAATGATCAGGTGCGCGTTAAATATATTTCCGCAAATATCGTACAAAAACAGTTTTTTTGTGGATAAAAATTTTGCAATTTTTGAAAAATTGACAATTTTGAAAACAACTTGTGATTCAGTTTTTATTTTTAATAATGAAGAATATCAGGTAATGGCATATTTTTTATAACGAACAAAAATTGGATTCAGTGCGTTTATTGTGAATATAAAGGAATTTGCAGGGAAACTTTTAGTGAGAATGTAAAACAAAAGTTTAGTGTCATCGAATTTTTTTGGTATTAAAAAATATTGTACCCGTTTGTTCCAAGATATTTTTTAAATTATTTTTATTATCATAATTATCATAATTATTTATTATAATTTTTTTTAAAGAGAAGCCGTGAGCTTTTTTTAGGAAGACAAACAACTTGAATAAAGTTCAAGGCTCTGTTTCTTAATTTATCTCTAAAACATTTAATAAAAATTATATTATTTTTCTGTTTTTTAACATTTTTATTTTAAAGATTAAAAAATGGAATTGTAAATTTAAAAAAAAGTAAATGAAAATTCTAATATTAATTTTTTTTTAACGAAACGTAATAATGTAATAATAATTTATTTTTTTATTACAAGTTTAACGGGTTATACCCTTGATTACATTAACAAAAAATAGAAAAAATTATAATAGTATAAAAGAACTTATATAAGAAGTACACATAGTAATCAAGCAGTATCGTATGCCATTTAAAACGAAAAAGTAATAATGAGAAGAATAATTTTACAAAAAGTTAATTTTTCAACTGTTGACAACATTCGCTGCACTTTAATGAGTTTCTTTAACATCCGTTTGTTATTTATTTGGATACTAAATTTTTTTACAGAGACTTCTAACGGTTTTTTATATGCCAATAAAACTAGAAACAACATAAATATTTTTAACTGTCCTGATACATGTTCCAATTTTTTTCTCTACATTTCTTCATTTTTGTTTAATTCTACTCACAACATTGATTTATAATTAAATTATAATAACATTATTTAATTTTTATTATTTATTTAATTTATTTAATTAAAATATTTTTTTTTTAAATAATTGTTAATTTCAAATTTTTGTTATGATTAGTATTTTTATTATAATTTTACATTATAATGTATTTTATTTCTTATTATAATTTCTCTTTTATATTTTAAATATTTTTTGGATTATACAAACGTAATTGTTATTATAATTATAAATTTAGTCATTTTTGGAAAAGAAATTTCTAATGGTGTGATGTTTAAATAATTTAGATTATTACACATAATTTATTTACTACTAGGAATCAAAATAACTATAGAGAAATCCAATTAAAACAAGAAAATTGTACATAATGTAAATTAAATTAACTTCTCGTTTAGTCTTGAAAAAAAAACAGAATAATAAGATTTTAATTATCGTGTCATGTTTTTGCAACATACTATAACTGAGCTCAGCGGTTTTGTTAATAGCACAATTCTTTTCTAAAATATTTTTCCAGCGAAACATTATCACAATGAATCTGAATTTTATATTCACGTACTTATTATTTTCATAAAGCGATCAAAAGAAGTAATTTTAGTGTCACGATAATTTTTCTGGGAAAGAAAACCCAAATATTTTTTTATTTGCTTAAGTAAATTTTTCCAACGAAGAGAAAAAATTTTTAATTTTCACCTAATTGTAAATATTTTTAGTTTAAAGATTTAGAAAATTGTAAGAAAATTCTAAGAAACTTTGTAAGATATAAATAGATTTGGAATTAAAGTCATTTTTTCGATTCCAGGTACGAGAGACTTCTTCGCCGTGCCAAAATGGAAGACCTTTCGGAAATTTCAGGAATTGGTTGTCTTTATCAAAGTGGAACCGATCGACAAGGACGACCTGTTGTCGTATTTGTTGGCAAATGGTTCCCGGCTAACAATATGAATCTCGACAAGGTAGAAATAAATATTTATTTAAAGTAAAACATTATTTTCCCAAAGAAATAAAGTTTATTCTCGGTATTAAATATTTTTCGAACTAATACAATTTTGTAACTCATATATTTTAGCATTTTTACTACAAAATATCCTAATATGTTGACAGAGTGAGCAAAAAAAGAATTATTTTCAATCTTGGCAAGGGAAGTCCTTCTTCTCAGATTATATATGAATCATGCAATTAAATTTTAAATTTTCCAAGTAAATATTACAATATGCATCAACAGTGTAACAACAAATTTTTTTAAACTAGATTTTATCCATTCTTTATCAATTTATAAACTAGATTGAAATAGATTAAAGTATTTTAAAAAATTTCAAAAAGATAAATAAATTTCAAATGGAAAAACTTATATTCATGCCTAACACATAGAAAGAAGTGCTGGCTCGCGACAGATCGATTTTAACACGCCTGGAAATAGACTTCGTTTAACTCTCATACATGTGTCAGTAACACAAGGTCGGTGGTTGGCCCTTTTACTATTTTCATTTTTCCAAGAAGAATCGTGGTAAAAAAATCGAAAGAAGGGAATTTAGAAATTGAGTAATTTTTCATTTTTATGCAATTCATGCAACTGGTAGAAGTGTTCGAAAAAAATTGTAGAAATTCTAAAACTTATATATATATATATATATATATATATATATATATATATATATATACCCAGATAGCCAAGCGTACTAATCATTATTTTTTAGTACAGCGTATTGGTATCGTACTCATATTGTACTTGTACGAAATAATAGAGTATGTACATACCAGTACGATACTTGTATAAAAATGGTATGTTGTACGGTTAGAATTCTAAAATTGCCAAAGTACTCCGTACGAATATAATAATAGGTACAATACCAGTTCGTCGTACTAATTGGGATTTTAGGTTATGAATTTCCAATGCTTCTCCGCCATTATCAGTACGACATACCAGTACAGTACCTGGTACAGTGCGAAGGTACATGGCTGGTACAGTACTAGTACGCTGGTTATCTGGGTATATATATATATATATATATATATATATATATATATATATATATATATAGGGGAGTGTAAGGTATGGTGGCGGACACTTTCTTTTTTGCGTCTCTCTCTCTCTCAAAACAATATTTTTCAAAATTTCAAAAGCAGGCAGTTGCTGACATCGATTAAGCATATTTCTGTCAGAAGCGGCTGTTAAAATTTAAATTCAGTGAAATTTTACAGCTCTTGGCGCAAAAAACTGATTTTTTTTATTTTTGAAAGTTGTAAGGTATGGTGGCGCATTTGGTGTATTTAACTAAAATATTATGTAGATGTTAAAATTATTTTTTAAAACTACTAGAAATGATGAAAAATAACAAAAGTAGAGAAAACTGATGATTTTACATTATAGAAAAAAAAGTTTCACTTCAGTTATGGTTACAATTTTGGACATGTGAAGTAGCTGGTGGCTGTTTTAACGCAACTAGAATAAGAGAAGACCGCAAGTGTCACATATTCGAGAATTGTTGCGTTGGAGCACATGAGGCATTAGTACACAAAAAATTCAAAGACAATTGAAACTCGTGCAAAAAATGATCCGCCACTGTACGTTGCAAAAATTGCGCCATCATACCTTACAAGCTATTGATGAAAATATGATGGTGTTACTTTCATACAGCGCGAATTGAGAAAAATGTAAAATACAAAAAACTGTTGTCCAAGGTCTAAACAATACGTTCCATACATTTACCAGACTCAATTTTCAAAAAATCTTCACTCTGGCACTGTTAACACACATATCCAATAAAACTTTTTTTCTTTTTTTCACTACTTTTTTATTCAAAATCACTTAAAGTACAAAGCACGCGTTTGATCATTAATACTACTGCATATAAAATGTCATCACGATAAAAGACATCGACCATAGTGATAAGGCGCTTCAGATGTGACGTTACATGCCAGATTTGACAAGTGCGCCACCATACCTTACACTCCCCTATATATAGTAATATAAAGAAAATTTTTTAGATTTTCTTCTCTAATTTAAGACCATAAAAGTCTAAAAGCCCCACTAGTTATTTTGAGAGGTAACTAAAAATGTGATATTTAAAATTTTTTGCTATTTGGACCACAGAAAAAAAGTAGCTGGAGATTTTTGGGAATAATATTTATTAAAAACGGGTACAGTCCGAAGTTTCAGGGATAGCTTCTAGTTAGGGTTCCTTTCCAAATTTTATTAAGGCGTTTGCAATCAGAATTTAAAAATTCAAAATGGCGGTTCCAATATTGAGTCAAGTTTATTATTAACTTTTTGAGTGACCCTACTGAACATGTACTGCTTTGTGGTGACCAGCCCAAATTATGAGGCGGGATAATATTTTTATATGTTCCCGAATAAAATTTAAAGTCGTTTCTATATAGGGCCTATGTCAGCCAGCCTACATGGCGACATAGGCCTGCGACTCAAATCCTACATTCTGCCTACGTAAGAATGTAACGCTGTTCGACATCTATTCTACATAGGCTCGATTTTGTAGAATCTACATAGGATTCATACTGTAGATTATACATAGGCCAAACGATGTATTACCTACACTGTTAAAAATTTTTGTTCCAAATTTTATACAAAAAACTTTTGGACTTTTGGAAAACGATTTAAATATTAAAATAAAAAATCTAAACTGTTTATATTGTGTTTTGATATGTTACAATAAATGTAAATTAATTAAAAAAAAAGTTTCATTAGCATTTTTACGGAAATGCGACACTACGATTTGAACCCTTAGTCGTATATAATGTTGTCTGTGTATAGTGTGTCTTGTATGGAGCCATCAACCTTGGGAGCTGCGCCTAGACGCGCTCGACCAAGGGAGGCTATGAAAATCTCTTGCAAAGTATCAGTAGTGAGAAACATGTGGACCATTCCCTTTTTTTTACTTCTTCTATATTTCTAAAGATTCAATATCTTTAAAATTCTTCACCAACCGATTCATAGTATTCTTTAATTTTTTTCTCTTTACGTTTCTGTTAAATTTATGATATGTATTAAGATGTTTAAGAAATTTTTAAACAATACTTTATACACAGAAGATTTTTTATGGAAAAATATTTTTCTATTTAATTCAGCAGTTTTTAAATTTTAATCTGTACAAAATAACTAACTATATTAATTAATTATATTATATCATCCAAAATGTTTTATTCTCTTAACAAGTTTTGTCAAATTTAACTAATTAAACTGATTAAAAAAATTTTAGTTATTTCAACATTTGAAAATGTATTTACTTATAAATAATGTTTTAAACTAATTTAGAGAATTATTAAACACATATGTTTGAAGCAATTTTGTATAAAAACTCAAAAAAATTTCAATTAAGTACTTTTCAATGAAAAAGTTGTAAATTTACCTACAATATTTTAAAACATATATGTGTATTGAATTATTTTACACATAAATTTTTCAAACACTTTTTTATGAAAAGGTTGTAAATTTACATATTTTTCAAACTTATGTATTTGAAGTTAATCCATACAAAAATTTTTGAAAATTTCAAACACTTTTGTTTGAAAATATTGTAAATTTACAAATCTTTCAAACATATGTATTTGAAGTTAATCGATACAAAAATTTTTGAAAATTTCAAACACTTTTGTTTGAAAATATTGTAAATTTACAAACCTTTCAAACATATGTATTTGAAGTTAATCCATACAAAAATTTTTGAAAATTTCAAACACTTTTGTTTGAAAATATTGTAAATTTACAAATCTTTCAAACACGCGTTTTTGAAATTATTTCATATACAATATTTGTAAATTTTCAATCACTTTTTGTATGAAAGTATTGTAAATTTACAATCTTTTTTAACAGTGTACATAAGAATGTAACGCTCATCTACATCTGTTCTATGTATGGTAAAAGATGTTGGTCCTACGTAGAAGGTGTACATACTCACTACGTCGTTCAGTCTATGTAGAATCTACATAGAATTCGTACGTTATATTTATACATGGGTTAAATGATGTATGATCTACATTACGGTTATACATAATTCCTATGCAGACTTGATATTATAGTTTCTATATAGGAACTTTAAGTCCACTCTATGTAGACCAATTGTAATAGGAACTATGTATAAACAAGTCTACATAGGCTGGTCTATTAAAAGTCCATGTACAGTCTACGTTAGGCGGCCTATATCACTTTGATATAAGAATGTCAATGTAGATTCTACATAGATTTTCCATAAGCAGGCCTACATGGGCTGGTCTTTTAAAATTCTATGTAGATTCTACATTGGATGACCTATGTCCTTTGTATATATAGGATAGTTTATGTAGATGGTATATAGGTATTATATAAGCAGACCTACATAGGCTGGCCTATTTGAGATCTACATACATCCTACATCTAAAACGCTTATGTAGGAAAGGCCTACATAGTATGTACCTCGTATGTATATTAAATGGTCTACATAGGAGGACGACTTTAAACCTATCTAAATTGTATGTAGGCTATACATAGCCCACGCTACTTTTTTACTCGGGTTATAGCTCAGAAGTTCACCTGAGAAGTTTTTATCTATGTCTTTCACTATGTAGAGTAGTTATCAGTTTTTCATTTCAGCTATCGTCTGTTCCTCTTTTCGATTTTGGTTGCACTACTAACGCTGGTTTCTAAACGGAGTCGCGGAGGAACTGAAATTCAAGTGAATTCGTATCTAATAGTGAAATGAATATGTACGAGAAGATCGGAATCTTTCAAATTTAGTTATTTATAATCATACTTTTTAGTTAGTAACTGAATTCACTTTTAATTTGAATTACCAAACTTAAATTATGTTTGAAGGAAATGAATTTATCATTCGGTAATTAATTATCAAAGGTGAAAGAAGTTAATAATTTTTTCGAATCAATCTCACAAATAAATAAAATCTCTTAGTAAGCTCATGGGTTTCATGACACATTTAAATTATGTTTCTTGCATCGGATGTCTGGAGAATTTCTTTTAGACTTCTTTTGGGTACTTGGTTAAATGTTTATAGGTAATAGCTCAGAAGTTCACAGTGGATTCATTGGAAACGATAGAGCGGATGAACTACAAAAGTAGAAAGTTACAATAGGGCTGTTAACTGCGTCATGGTGATTGACGCTATCATAGAAGGTGTTTACACCGTGTGCACGGAAAAAAAAAGTTCTCAGATATTTCAGGAATTATTTCCTAAGTCTTGGATACGTGGTAACAGCTCTGAACTAGCGACGAACATTCAATGGTAATCAATGAATGTTTGAAAGAAATTCGGGAACTGTATTAGAAAAAGCTATAAATAGTCCATTAGTCTCTTTTTCATTATAATGAAAAAGAGACCATGAACTTTACATGAGAAAGTATACTTTCTCATGTAAAGTTCATGGCACTGGCCGCAACTGTTTCTGAAATATTCGGGAACTCGTCAAGGAATCTTGGTGCGCAGAAACTGTGCGCACCAGTCTCAACAAGTCTCCCCGTCAGTAAGACTTGCGTGCCTTATATATTTATTTTATGCTGAGGTATTTAACTCGCCTGTTTAGCTCAGCTGGATAAGACGCCGGACTTCTATTCTCGGGTAAACGAGTTTTGTTCCAGCCGCCGTCGATTTTTCTCTAATATGGTTTTTTCTATTTCAGAAACTTAATAAAAAATAAAAATTGTATGTGACCTTCAAGGATAAATGTGTGTGTGTGTGCGCACGTGCCAAGGAGGGGAAGTGGGAGGGGGGAAGCAGAATCCATTTTTTCTTGCATTCGCCTAACTTTTCGATTTTCTTGAACAGTTCCCGACTTTTTCAAGAACAGTTTGCCGAGAAGTGGTGAAATAGTTATAATTTGTAGAGAAATAGTAAATTACATATTTAAACGAGGCAACATTTAGTTATCTGTGTACTACCCGCCGTATCCAAGAGTTAAGAACGAAGTTCCCGAATAATCCTCGAACTTTTTTTTTCCGTGTGGTATAAATTTATTCTCTGCGCGCATAAACGGAAATATTCTCCACGAGCATATATTCGTGCCTGCGCAAAATGTTTGCCTATAGCTGCGTAGTGAAAGGCTTTACCTTGACCACGTGTTTGCGCAGGCGCGAATATATGATCATGGAGAATATTTCCGTTTATGCGCGCAGAGAATAAATTTATACCACTCGGTGTAAACACTTTCATAGACAGAATTTCTTTCGAAAGAAACTAATGCAATTGGATAAATTCTGCTAATACAATCTGAGTTCAACGATTTTGTGTATGAAAATTTTGATGCAAATATAATTTCTAAATTTAAATTTCAGGAATTTAGGCAGATAGGGTTGATCCTTGACCGTAAAAGCTGTCGACATGGTTCGTCCCCAATCTGTTATTAACTCCGTGAACCGAGGTTTAATTGAAATTTAAATTTTGAATGTCATTCTGGACACAACCTAGGAATGTTAAGCCACTTAGACCTATATATTGGCTTTTAAATTCGATAAATTAGGAATTCTTCTAAAAGAGTATGGAGGATGATAAGGAGTACAGGACGATTCTGTTTGTTCTGGCTGACCCACTAGAAACCTCATCCTTTGCTTCGACTAATCTTCAAAGTAAGGAATTATAAATTTTTTGTTGTTCTTACTAAAGTCTATTTTGATTCCACAAAAGGTGATTTAAAGACCTTGCCAACTCTTCTTCTTGCTCGTAGTTAGTAGACTTCTGTTTGTCGAATGTTCATAACCTTCGTCCACATTCGAAACCTCGAAAAATTATAAAGAAACATTTCGTTACATGAGTCTTGTGTGATTCCTGTCATTTGGAATATATGAGAAATGATACATATTAATTTACAGGTCAGCCCAATTAACACAAAAGATGACATTAATAAACTGAATGAAAAATACCCTAACTTACTTAAATCTTAATATTTGACAATTAATTCTCTTTGTATACCTTTTATTTCATTGGCTTCCTTCTGATATCAAGTTCCCGATGCGAAAACATCTGTGATCACCTTAATGAATGTATTACTTCATGCTTAGACTAATTTGCGTGTGCGTTTTGACATTCGTCTGTCTGCACGTGTATCTTGACAAGTTTACTACTGTTAGTATATTTTACTTTAATTCTATACTTAATCCACAATTTATAAACATTAATAAATTGTTAATAAATTCCAGTTTCTGATGAAGACAATCAATGTTGTCGAAACGATAAAATAAATGAAACTTTTATTTTATTTGACTCGAAAAGAATGAGCTTCCTTCTTATACAAAAAGGAACAATATTATTAATCGAGAGTTTCCACTGTTGTGTTAACGCATCGTCCTATAATCAGTGTTTTTGGTATTAAAAACTACCTCATGCAGTTTTTTCTACAATCAACAAATTTTTAATTTTTGAATTTTCACCACAAAAATTTCTATTTCCACCCTACTATTTTTGTGCCCTGAATAAAAATTCCGACCACAACGACCCTGTAATTATTCCGTCGTAGTGGTTAGTGTACCTTCATGATAAATGATAGTCATTTATTAAATTGAGGGAGAAAGGAATAAATAGGTACTCAATTATTTTATTAACATAAATAATAGGTTTATTCAAAAATAAGTTATTGCCGATGCTTGGTGGGAAAAACGTCTTTTCCAATCGAAAGACCAAGCTGTACTGTCTTTTACAGAAAATAGCAAAAACCCTCTTTGGGTTGTACTACATTTTCAATTATGGTGGGAGGCAAATCAGATGTTTTTTTTTGAGGCAAATCAGTTTGTATAATTTTCGAAGGCTTAATTTTTACCTTTTTACCTAGGTTATTCAATTGTAACCCGGATGATAATCCGGGTACTGCAATTAAGCAAACGGCCAGCGTAGGGACGTACCGATGTACCGTAATAAAATACTATAAACTTAATCCCTAAAACATGTGCTGAAAAGTAATAAAAGTAAAAGTGTTTCGGAAAAACTAATTTAGAAATATATCCTTGAAAATATAAAATTCTAAATATTTGAAAGCCTTAATCCTAAAATAACATCTCAGTTCGCTACAAAATTAATCACGGAACCATGACAGTGAACAGGAAAACAATATTATTTCCCGACCCACAAAATTTTAGCCTACTTTAGTACAAAATCGATAAAATCCTTAGGGAAAATAAACTTATCTGAATAATTGTATTTTAATTGCTTAATTTAACTTTTTAGTAAAGTTTCTCTCAGGAATGTTTTACCATTTCAGAATGTATAATGCTTATTACTATTAATATGTCATAAACAAGAGTATCGTATACTTTTACACACAAAAACTTCTTTGTTCACCTTTTTTTGAAACTATTGAATAGAATGGATATTATTTATTGATTAGGTAATTAAGAGGGAAAATAATGTTTGCCAAAAGGAGAAAATAAGTTTTTATTACCCTAGTCACAATTCCCAATAAATTACATGCATAACAAGATTTGATGCCTATCAGTTGTGCCAATTGTATAACCTGAAGTGTAACAATTATCTAAACAATAGAAGCACTTTTGTCAATCTTTTGCTTTTAAGTTATCTAATTTCTAGTTTCCTTTAAAAAAAACTTTATATATTTCAGCAATTGTTTACAAATATGGTGAATAAAAATGGTTTGAATAAATTATACACTAATTGTCGTTCTTTTGAAAATAGTATTTTTATAAAATTTTTTTTCCAAAAGACAAAAAACTTTATGAAGATTTTTGTAATCTCTGGTTCAAGTATTCTATAGTTTATCAATTCCTTTGATGTGAAACTTCTTATTCAATATTAAATTTATTCACCATCTAGTATGAAAATCTTTTTCAACTGTACTATAGTTAACTTTATAGTTATCGACCAAATACAGCCTTAAGTAAATAAACAGTGCAACGTACAGTGCACTTAATAGAAAAGCAATAATTACAACTTTTTGATAATTGGAAATTATTGATTCAAACAACTATATGTCACTTCTGAAATAAAATTTTACTCTTTAGCGTCTTGAAGTTCCTTTTCAATTGAGAAATAGACACCCTGTTGACAATTTAAGAATTGGATCAAGAGTTTAATAAAATGTTTCCCTGCTCTTGACAGCAATTGTCCCAGATGTCTATTGGGCATAGCCTCAGGCATCAATGCATACATAACAAGAAATTTATTAACCCGTATAAAGAACACTTAGCTACAAAGACCTCCCACAATGTTCTGACCTTGTTCTCAATAATAATTCACTTTTTTTATTTCAGGCCTTATTGTACCTGATTCAACTTCTGGATCCTATCGTTAAAGGAGATTATGTGATTGCTTACTTTCACACTTTGACTACCAACAACAACTACCCCAGCCTTAATTGGCTTCGAGAAGTCTACAACGTACTTCCTTACAAGTAAATTATTATTATTATTATTATTATTATTATTATTATTATTATTATTATTATTATTATTACTATTATTATTAATACCATTATTTTCATGATTACTCCGTTTGGTAAAGTTCAGAAGAGATTCGGTATTTTGATTTACTACTATCATACATGATAATTTATTGTTTTCCAGAATATACAACTTTAGAATTAACAATTGGATTAAATATTTACCTTACTTTTAAAACCTTTACCACAATATAGTTGAATTTACTTTTCAAAGTAAGTTCTAAACTTTAGCATTGCATAATTAGTTTTTAGTTTGCTGTTTTAAAATCTAGGGTCAATTTCTAAAAATTTTAAATGGCAGAACTAATATGGTGTATAAAAGTTTGAATAGTCGAGTTAAACTTCTAAAAAATACTTCAAGGAGGGTTTTTCGTTGTATAGCTCATTACGAATATGAAGTCGGATTTTAAAAATTCAAAATAGCGGATTTAATATGACTGACGAATTTTGTGAAACTCACACCCAGAGAAAAATATTATTTAAACCAAATATATTTTATTTGAGTTAAATAAACGTATATTTGTCTCAGAACCAACTAGACTTTTTATTTCTTTTAAATAAAAATTTTATTCGACACAAATAAAACATATATTTGAGATAAATAAAATTTTATTTAAACCAAATAAAATTTATTTCAAACAAATGAAAAGTCTAGTTGGTTCTGAGACAAATATACCATTTCTCTGGGTGCATGGAATTCAATTCAAACTCGTTACTCGGGAGTTTTTTTATTACCAATCTGAAGTTGGATTTCAAAAATTCAAAATGGTAGATAGAAAATTTTGAAGTTGATTTAAACTTTCAAAAATCACTCCCGGGGGTTTTTCGGTGTCGCTGATTACAAATCTAAGGTTAATTTTAAAAAATTCAAAATGGCAGAACCATCATGGAGGATAAAAATTTTTAAAATTAGCAAAACTTCTAAAATCTATATTTCAGGGGGACGGGGTTTAGGGTCACTAAATTCAATATTAATTGTAGCAAATACAAAACAATGGATCAGATAAAAAGCATCTAAAAGACAATAAATTATTTGCCAATATTAATTTAAAAATAATTTACTGTTTATAACAATCGTTTTATTTTTTTTAGGTACAAGAAGAATCTGAAGCACTTTTACATCGTGCATCCAACATTCTGGACAAAGGTTCGTACAATATTTCTAAAGGAATTGACATGATTTTATATAATAATTATTAAAGGGGAAATAATTCTCCACGACAATTATGTAAATGCGAATAGAATCTCATTTTTAAGTCTTTTTGTTGTTGTTGAACTTCCGTGACAACTTATACATATGTCTACTAATACCGGTTGTAACTTGTTAGAAAAAAAATATTGTATACAGTTTCATCTAGTTTTTCTTTTAATTCAGAAGCATTTACATAAAGCATTGAAACGAGATAAAAAAATTTAAAAATCAGGTTATTTGACTCTTATTAATTAACAACATCATGTTGGAAAAATATTACATCATTTAAATATAGTCGAGTGCATGAGTTTTTCAAACTAAAAATTCTTTTCCCTACAATAACAAATTATTCTAAAAATATTATTTTATTTTACAAAAATTTGCGCACGACGAAAAATTCTATTTTTAAATTGCGAGGATATATTTATTATTCGACTTATGAATGAAAAAATATAAATAAATTGTCATTGGAATAATTGAAATTTCTTTAGTGAATGAAATTAATTTGAAAGTGGGCTGAATTTTAATTTTCTAGTGCTATATTTATATTTCCTGCAAGTGCAGTACGGATATGAAAATAAATTGTAAATAAAATCTATTTTTAAAATGAGTATTTTTGCGTACGAAAAATATACAGGAGGAAAATAAATTGTTTAATTTTAGCATATATACTAATTTATAAAATGGTTGAAAATAAATTCACGACCTCGATGTTTGCAGATGATGACGTGGTGGTTCACAACATTTATGGCGCCAGCGATAAAGCAAAAAGTTCATAATCTACCTGGTGTGGAATATCTCTACGAAGTTATGTCTCCAAATGAATTAGAGATACCTGCATATATAACCGAGTATGACATGACGGTGAGTTTTCTTTAAAAACATAATTTCCACTTCAAAACTTGAGGGGAAAGTTACCAATTTTGAAAATATTTTCCTCCTATTTATCGATTTCGTGATATTTCGCCCGATATCGTATTTTCTCCATTTTATTTTTATTTGATATGGAGAATAATTTTTTTTTATTACAGATAAATGGACTTCGATATTATCATCCGGATCATTCATCGCAAAATTCCACGTAACTGTCAGTCTAGACCGAATTTAAGGTCGAAGCTAGTAACCTAGCATGGGACAATCTTCTCTTCAATGAATAACTTACCTCTCTTGCAAAAAAAAAAAAAAATGCGACAAAATTTATATGAGATCAAATGAAAAAAATTGTTTTTTCGATACTCTACATGTCGGTCATTCATGAAATAATAATAATCGTTGAAATTTAATGATTCGAAAAAGCGAAAGTAGTGAAAGGAAAGGGAGAGAGAAAAAAACACACTTGTGAGTAGAGAAATATGATGAAAAATTTTCCCTTATAATATAATAATAAATTTTCCAGCTAGATGCATTTAACAATATTAAAAAAGAAACTATCGAAGCATTTCCCGGTGAAAATTAAAAATAGATGATATAAATTTATATAGACAAATTGTAAAATATTTATTTGAAAAGAAGATTAAACAAAAAATAAAAATTTGAAATATAAAGTGGTAACACTATCCATTTTTAAGAAACAAGTAGACTCTGTGAGTTATAAGAAAAGGATTGTGTTACACTTCGTGCCTTTGAGAAAAAGTGCAAAAGAAAATAATTAATAAAAAAAATTAAAAGAAAGAAATAAAAAGCCAATAAGTCAAAGTTTAAAGTCGATAAAATAAACGACTTTCCTTTCATAAATTGCAAATATTTAAAAAATTCCCTTTGCTAATTGTATGAAATTTTGAATTTCAAATCTTTAAATTATTGCCAAAAAAACGAAAGTTCCTCTGAGCGATTCAATCAATTTTTTGCTACAAATATTGTAAAGAATGGTGCTAGTGTATAATTCAAATTTCCTCTCTAACTACCGCATAAAATATTTTCATTTGTCTATTAAAGTTTCTTTTATAGATTTTTTATTCCTGATAATTTAATTTTGAATAAGTTACATCGCTAAAAAAAACTTTTATTAAAAATTGATGAATTTATTAAAATAATTTTTCTCCCGTAAAATCTTTAAATTAATATTTTACTACATATTTTAATAATTATTTTTAATAACTGTTTCTTTAGTCTATATTAAATTTTATGACTTACTTTTTTATACCACATGAATATTTCATTACTTATTGAGTTTAATATTTTATATAAATACATTACTCTATTCATTTTTTTAAATACTCTTATTTTTACCAAATACATATTTTCATGTATTTTTTAATAGGCTAAGAAAAATATAGTTTTTAAAAAAAGTCTTTCTTCGTTACAGATTTTAAAACAAGAACTGTTTTTCATTTTATCACTGTCAAATGTGCCAATAATATAAATTCAATGAATAGAAAATATTTTTAAAATCTACATTTCTTAAAATATTCATTGGTTTTTGTAAAAAGAATTTAGTAATGTTCAGTGAATACTACATCACAGTATGAAATGTTTTTAAAAAAATTAAATTTGAAATTTAAACTTTAAATTTTGTGAAAATTTTAGTTAAAGTGTAAATTTTTTAAAATGTCACCTAACAGTTGTGTTACAAATTTAAAATTAAAAAGAAAATGACAGACTATTATAATTAAGTAGAAGAGAATAAGGAAAAATTCTTTTAGCCCCTGGACTGATGAAAAAAATTGCAATTTGAGAACGATGCGCGCGCAGAGGATGAGTGGGTGGGGGTATGACGCTATTGGCTATCGTCACTCCTCACCTCTCTTTGCCTATTGCGCGCGCAGTTTTCTCAACCAAAATAATACCCTCAAGCCTCAAGCAATTTATAACCATTTTTATAATCCCTGGATCATTAGTTTTTAGTTTTATTTAAGTGATCTAAATTGCTTACTTATAAACTAAAAACTATATCTAAATGACTACTAATAATAATAATAAAAACTACCCATATTAGTAATAGTCTTAAACTGCCGTGCTTTAAAATAAGAAAAAATTATTTTCCAAAAAATATTCTTCTCTAAAAAATCACATATCTCTTAGAGAGCACTGAATGACAATGTCTCCTATTCTCTCTCCCTTTCTTTATTTAAAAAAGATCACTAATAATATAAAAGTAGAAAATAACGGCGTGTTTACCTTCTACATTTCCAGGGCTATAAATTCGTAGTTCTTCCGCTAATTCCGCCAACATACCAAATCTGCAGTGTTCTGATTCTTTATTATCGTAAAGAAAGAGCTTTATATTCGCGCAAAAATTACAAAACTAAAAAGAATTCTAGAAAAAAGCATGCATTACGAGACATTTAAAGTGTATAAATAAATTACCTCCTTCGTCACTCGACGAATTTGTTGTACCACGTGGTTTCATTCGCGTTGGATATTATAGTTGTATTCAAGTTTAAAATCCAATCGATTCGCATCAAATCGATTATCGTTACTCTGTTAAAAAAGGAAAAAATGCAAAAAACAACCTATATTTATAAAATGAGTCTGTACCTATAGGCTTAAAAATTTAAAAATAAAAAAAATCACAGGCAATCATTTCAATATACATATATATATTCTCTACGCTATTTACACTGAAAATCGTCCCCCCACCGCCAACCACAGCACCAAAAATGCTGTTTTATGAGAGTCAAATTATTATATTTATGCAAAAAAAAGTGTGGTGTCTTATTTAGAAATAATGTCATCGAATGTAAGGGAAATAAAAGCTGTTCTATAAAAACCCCCTTACGGAAAAAAAATATTGTCGTTAAAAAATGATATTTAGGTCGAAGTATTCGATTATATTAAACGGCTGTTGTAGAGTATAATATTAAATTTTAGATTAGCAACGTTATAGGGTAAAAAAAATTATTTCGTTTTGAGTTGAAAACACTGGTAAGAGTGGGGTAAAGTACTGTGATTAGTGTTTGCAGTCTCCCCCCACCACTTGCGTTCGGTGTTCTCAAAAACGAATACACTATAATGACGCTAGTACTTACAAATTTTAATAAACAAAAACTAAGAAAAAAAAATCCCTAAACTAAGAAATTGTATTCATTGGAATTTTGTAAAGTTCAGTATTGAAGAATTGAAAAACTATTTTTTAATGCGTTTTCATGTGGGTTGTGTATAAGAATAGATGAGAATTCAAATTAATTCAAGAAATTATAATTTTCGAAAAAGATAAATAACCTAATAATGTAAAAATCTTTCTTCTTCTACATATATATATGAATTCATCAAAAGTATTCAAAAATTTTTTTTCCTAAAATGCTCATTGCTCAATGACAAAATTTTCATTCATCCCTGTAAGTCAATGTAAAATTTCTAACCGTAGATATTTTCCTCTTTAAAAAAACAAACAAAAAATACAAATTGACATTTGGAAAATGTTTCTGAGCTTTTTTTAGTCTAATATTTTCTTTGACGAAAGTATAAGACGATGTTATTAAAAATGTAGAAAGAAAACTGTTCACACGTTTTATTAGTAAGATTTGAATATTTTAAAGCAACAATCTTAGAACTGAATTCAAGTTTATCCCACAACGACTTGATGACTGGCAAATTTGTGTTGGTTGACTGCTTATTAAAAACAAAATAATAATAAATGTACGAATTAGCGTCCCCATTGCGCGCGCACTACACGAAGAGAGTGGGGTACGCAGTGTGATTAGTTCTCCTTCTTCTTCGTGTTGCGTGCGCATCCAAAAGGACGCTAATTCGAACTCGCAAATAATGGACGATTTGATTCGTCGAAAAATCAGTATTTTTAACACCGTGCACAAAATTTATGTCACGGTTACTGTTATATGTTGTGCCGATGCTCACTTTTGTAAATAAAAAAAAGAAACAAAGAAGGTATATATGTATGTGCAATCGGTGCAATAATTTTTAGAGTTTAGAAGGCTGACAAAGGATGAGAGCGATAATGAGAAGAAAAATATGTAAAATAAAAAATTATAAAAAAAAGAAATAAAGGGGAACTTGAGCGAAAACGAAAATGTATCTAAAATAAAGCCTAAGTTGGCGTCTTTTGCGCTCCGGTTGCTTCCTTTATTTTCTTATCAAAATAAAACAAAAAAAACTGTTATTAATTACGAAAGAGTATCTATTTAATCGTAGTATACGAAGGTATTTTACTATCGTGACTTTGCTAAATAGATTATAAAAATAATCGAATCGTGAAATCGTATTTTCAGGATAAAACCTAGTTAATATTTTAGAATTTAAAGCGATAACCTCTTGCGTAGCTTCGGCTCCGACGGATTGGCCCCCCGCCCTCTTTCAGCAAAAAAAAAGCCATTTCGATGTTATTATCCATTTTTGTCATATTAAACATTTTGCCTCGTAAATAAAAAAATTGCAATTTAAAATTGTAATATAATATTGTCAGTCGTTTGCATAAAAACATATATATAATTGGCCAATCGACGCAGCGGTAGGAGGTGATATTTTAGAAATAAGAGTATTAATTTTAAGAGCTTCGCTAAAAAAAATATATATTATTATTATGCCCACCATCCACAGAGGATAATTTGAAAAATTGTTATCGGTTTTTAGTGACAAAAAGAATCACGTATATAAATAAATTGACCAACTCATTCGTTTTAAAATATTGTCTCTTTTTTATCCCTTATTTTTTCTTCTTCATTCTCATCGCATATTTCTGGAAAAATAATTCACGAATTTTCCAATAATATTTCTTTTTACATTACTTTTAATATTGTAAAAATGACAGTATAATTTCTTGCAGTATTTGAAAGCAAGATATTTTAAAATTTTTAAATAATTATTTTACTTTTGAACATCAATAATAATTCAAGTTTCAGTAATGCGAGGGATTTTAAAAATTTCATAATAGTCGATACATTAAGTAAAATCTTTTTAAAATTTTAAACAAATCTGACAAAGATTAATTTCTTTCGACAATTTAAACCTTTTATATATATTAATTATTGAATTTTTATCATTGAAAAGTGTTTTAAAATTTCTATCACAATTTTTAAATAGTTGTAGAAGAAGATTTTTTTTTAAATTGTAAAGAAACATTCTTTTTCAAAATCTTAATGTTAAATGAAAGAAAAATAATTTGTTTTAGATAATATTTTCAATATTTATGTAAAAATTATATTTTTAAATATATATTTAAATTTAATTAAAGAAAAAGTTTCGATAATTGTCATTATTGACAAAATAAAAAATATAATATAATTTATAATTTATAATAATTATATAACAATAAGACAAAAATATAATAATATATTAAATAAGAGTTTGATTTTATAAAGTTAGATCAAAAATTTCGAAGTTTAACTGATGAGATAAGATAACAGAAGTGTTGACCTGATTAAATCAGTCAGTTCTCATTTGGATTTTGGTAAATCGACAAGCGTGAGAAATGTAAAAGTCAATAACAAACTTGTTTTGAAACTGATTATTATTAAAAGTAGACAAATTATTATTATAACAACAATAACAAACAATTAAACTAATTAAATAGATTAAAAAATTACAATATAAATATAGTATTAAAAGTTAAAAATAATATTAGTTTATTTACTGAACAAAATTTATTATTTAAAGTGTAAAATTTATATAAACAATATCTCCAATTGAAACTAAGAATCAAAAATACGTAGGTATCGCTTTAATTAAATTAAAAAATAGAAATGCAAATAGGCAAGAAAACTAGAAAATTGTTCTATAAAAACGTTCCAAATGGATATACATCTAGGCTAAAGTTTAGATTGTAAATTTATTCAGAAAATACTGAATACAATTAGTGGTTTACATATGATTTTAAGTGTTTGATTAATAAACAGAAAAAAATGGACGAAAAAGTTACAAAATTTGTTTTTAATTTCAACATTTAATTGCCATGTTTCAAAAACAATTATTACCTATAGGATTAATTTTAAAAAAAATATTATTAAAAATTTATTGAAAATAATATTCATAAAAATAATATTGTAAACCGTTTTCATAAAAGTAATGTTGACAATAATATTAAAAAAATAATACTAAAAATAATATGGAAAATATGTTTGTCTTCATATACATGACGTCGAAATCAATGTTCAAATACGTGAACATATTTTGTCGAGAATTTCATCTTTTTTCAAATGTATTAAAAATTATGTTTGTCCTTGTCTGAAAGCCGGTCATTTAAGATGACTCACTATCATAAAACCTAGCTTTGTATTCGTATTCTCTTCATCAGTATAGCGGGAGACTTTCTTGTGTTAAAATGTTTTATTTCTTTTTAAAAACTTTCCAAGTTTGGTAGTTTACTTTTTTCATTATAGTATAAACAATTTTTTTTGTTAACATAAATTTATTTACGGATGTTAATTTAAAACTCAATTTTAATGATTCATTTTGTTTTTCATTTTCATTTAGATTTTATATTTCATTAAAACGTTTGCTGGTTAGTAGCGCACATGGTCAATAATGATGACGCTATCATTTTTGTGTATCAAAGTTTTCGACTATTTATAGTTATTGTTAAAAATAATTGGTGACTTAGAAAACAAAATGTTTTTGTTAAAATTTTCCTGTTTGTGATAATTGGTGATAAATAACAGAAATATTTTGAGAAGTTTAAATTTAAGTTAATAATAAATAAATTTGATAATTTCTAATTTAATTTTAAGTAAATAAATGTTATTAAGTGTAAATTTAAAAACTTTTTCTTTAATTCAAAAAATAGAAAATGAAAGCTTTTGGCCTAAGTTTTGCGCCTATGAACGTTCCTCTTAGAAGAAGATTACAGACACTTGCGGCTACAGCATGGATCATCAGTTTTGCTTTTGGAAATGTAATCGGTTATATACTTGCTGCATTAATTCTATTATTTATTCCATGGCTTCGACTTCCATTATTAATGTACTTTTTCTTTATGTATTGCGATCGTTATTCATGCATCGAAGGAGGACGAAGGTAACACCATAAAAACCTAAAGGTATTTTCCCACAATGCGCGATCAGTTTGAAAAAAATAACGAAAGATAAATATTTACTATTAATTATTTTCAAAAAGTCACCAGACAGTCAAAAAAATTTATTTCATTTACATAGTTTTATAAGTTGAAATTCAAATGTTTGTCAAACATTCAAAAATAATTGCAATATTTCTCAAAAGGGCTAAGAATTTTCCACAATTTGAATCATTAAAAGTTAAAAAGAAATTAAAAATTTTTTTAAAAATAATGTACCAGGACTAATTTTTTTATTTGACTATCTATCCAATATCCGCTTAAAGAAGAATATTCAAATTTTAAAAAAGCAAAAAAATTCTTTCAGTGAAAAATATACAAGATGGATGAGAAATTCCCTGTGGTGGCATTATTTTCGCGATTATTTTCCAATAAAATTGGTAAAAACGAAAGATTTAGATCCAGAGAGAAATTATTTATTCTGCTCATTTCCTCATGGTGTTCTGTCAACGGGAGCATTTTGTGCCTTTGGAACTGACGTTTTAAAATGTCAAGAACTCTTTCCAGGATTGGACTTTAGATTGCTCACCTTGGAACCACATTTCAGTGTTCCTATACTGAGAGAATTGCCAGCTAGTTTTGGTAAAGTGAAAGTTCATTAAATATAATTTAAGTGCAAGATAATAATTCACCAAAAAAATTCCTTATTTCCAATCACCAAAAATTAATTTTAACAACGTAAATTATTTAGATAAAGGAATGAGACAATTTAACAAAAATAATAAATTAGTAAATACTGCATTGTTTTATTAGTAGAAGAAAAAAAAATAGTTTATAGAAAAGAAAAACAGTTTGGTAGCATTTATTAATATCTAAAGTTCGGTTCTTCTTAATAATTTCATATCTTCACTTGAATCGTTGATCCCTGGGACGTATAAACATCTTTCTCTTACTGTATAATGTACAACATTCCTCTATTTATAAAGTTTGTACAATGAATCAAGTAAGCACACGTGGGACTAGACAAACAGGAAACTGTCTTGTATTTCTTATGCTACGTGACGTAAAACTCGAATAAATTCTAATACACTTTTAATATTCCCAAAAAAATGTTGTCTAAAAGTTGACAGTGACACTGTAGCAACAATTATGAATTTGCAAAACCACCTTTAAAAGATTTTTATACTAAAAGTTTTCCATGAGGAAGCAGTAATGATTAAACCCACAATAAAAATAGGTTACCAGGTTTCAAAAGTCAGAGTAAAGTTATATTATTCGTTTCAATTTTTGGGTGCGAAATCGTTATAAAAAATAAAAATCCTACGCTATGTCCACTCCAAAATACACAAAAAATGTGCATAAGGACACAGATACATAACATTATTAAAAATAATAAGTTATGTGTAGGTGAGAACTTATTATGGAGGTGGACATGGTCTCCCATTGCCCTAGAGTCCTAGGGGTAAGTACGCTTTTAACGCTATAGTCCTCGGGAATGATGTTAACCTCCACGAGACGAATAACTGAATTTGGTCAATTTACTGAAAGAAAAATTATTTTGTTAATGACGTTCTTCCACTATAACATCATATGTATATGATATATTTAAAATTTTCCTTCCACTATTAACATCTGTTTCCCATGTAGTTTTACAATTTTTACAATAAACAAGTCTATGTGGACTTTTCGATGAATTTCAAGCAACAAAATGAAACTGCAAAATGCAGTTGTGTGAAATTCATTAACTGTCACAACATTTCTTCTTTTTTCATTTTTAATCGAATTATTTATTTACTTTTGTATAATTGTTGATATCTTCTAAATGCATCTAGTGAGAAGTTAATGTTTAATAGTTAATGTTTGGGATTTGTTTTTTAATAATTTTTCATTTCTCAATGATTGCCTATTATTTATTTACTGAAAAATAAGTTCTCAGGGATAGTGAGCTCACTATGGAACATACGTATTAGGCTGGTTCTTTACACTAATGAGATATATTGTATTGTATTCTTGGAGATTTCCGTGTCACTCAAGAGTGTTGTCTTGAGAACGAATTTCGAAATTAGATATACGGTTACAAAATTAGAATTTCTAAATCTTTTAATTTAACATGGATTTATTTCCAAATTACTTCTTCTTGCAATATTTTCAATAAGTTGTTTTTATTAATCGACGTACTTTTCTAGTTAATGTGTAGGGTGTACTAGTCGATGTGTTTTGGTGTACAATATCTAACTATGGAAGTATTAGTTATTCATCTGTTTGCTGAAGATAGTTCGTCTCCTACGAGGACAATAATTTTGGAGATTAGGAGCGCTTTACAATATACAACAATTGCAGGCACGTATTCGATACTATATTTAAGTTTTGTCAAGCTCGTCAAAATAATAAATGATCTTATCGATTTAATGGGAAACTTATTCCCTAATTAGCTCTTAAATTCCTTTAACTGGAATTCATGTTTCCGGAAACTATAACATCCGTAAAATATTGTGAAGGCGTCCTGGGATACCTTGAGGACATCCTACGAATATCGTAATTTCCTCATTGATTGTCAAAAGATCTCTTGCAGCATCAGGATATTCTATAAACGTCCCAGGGGTAAGCATTGGTCCATAGAAATTAGGATATTCCAATGACGCCTTAGAAATCTTATCGACATTTTAGAGATATCTTTTCTGATGTGAAAATTTAAATGAATAACATTTTTTGATTCGTCAAGCAAAATCTGATGCTTCCATGAGACTATTGCAGTCCCAAGATATGGAGCCTCATTGGGAACCAGTCTTCTTGCATTCTAGGCATTGTCTATCTTCCAAAAGCAAGAAATTCGTTGCTTTCGGAAACGTTTTTCTTTTTCCCCATTATCAGTGATTGAAAGCTCATATGCTGAGCAAATGACGGTTTTGCATCACTAAGTGAATTGCAGTCCTCAACTCTGGCGATGACCTTTAAGTCATAAGAGACTTTAAGGTCCCGTCCCACTTGGGTTATCACAACACGAGTAGGTATATCTGTATTTGAAGATCCTGATGGATTGGATTACGCACCTTACGCACCTTACTTTTTGAGTTATGATTAGTTTTACCAGTAAAATGAAATCTCTCGAGATTATTAAAAAGAACGTAATTTTCAAAGTTATTTTAATTAAAAATGGTAACAGTTTTTTGAAAATATTCTAAATACTAGAAAATTAAGTACATTTGTTTTAGGTTGTTGCAGTGCAAGTGCAGCGAGTTTAGAATATTTACTATCTAATAAGCCAGACCAACGTCCGGGGTATAATTTCACACCAAAAAAAAGCAATGCTCCAGTACTTGTCGTTGGAGGTGCTTCTGAAGCTTTGCAGTGTAAACCAGGGACTTACCGTCTTGTTCTTAAACGAAGAAAAGGATTTATCAGATTAGCACTTAAACATGGGTTAGATATCTTTTTCTATTAATAATTATTAGCATTTAAATAGTTTACTTATAAAAATCTTATAAATTTTCTTCTCTATTCACTATTAATAATTAATAATAATAATCTAATGATTATTATTAAATAGAGACATTTTTTTAAATTTCGCATTTACTGTGAGTTTTAGTTACTTTTGCCACCTCGCTTTGAAGCATTTATTACCTCTCGGATAGCGGAGATACCTTATTTTCAGTTTTATCTCAATTTAAATGTGTATGTATTTTAAAATTTACAGAGGAATTATAACGAGAAATGAGAAGTTCAAATGAAATAGAGATTGAAACAAATGCAAATATTTCCGCTTGATTTCTCTATGGCTGCATTGAATCTCCGCAAAGTTCAGTGACCCCTACCGGGATTATTTCGTTCATTAACCCTTTGAGTTAAGGTTTATTGAATGTTACAACTTTTTCATTTTACTTTATTTTTTAATTCCGTTTTCATAAAAACATTAATCGAACCATAAAATTTGAATAACGAAAAATATTAAAATATGAAAGTCTCAAATCTTTTTAAAAAGATAAAGGTGATGTCAGGTAATCTTTAAGACGTCTTCAGAAGATCTTATGTCCTAAAAATGTATTTGGATATACGACATCTTGTTACAGTATTAAAAATAATAAACAATAACGAACAAATACACTATAATTAATTAGCCAAATTAATTAAATTAACAATTTCAATTTACACTACAATTTATACGAACTAATAAAACACACACATACACACTTGACTAGATGATTACAATGATTACAACCTGTAAGGAAAACTAGAAAGGAACGCGAAGATTCGGAATTTTTCGCAACCTCGTATGCGCAATTCATTTTCATAGAGATCTATCTAAAGAAAATGAATCTTTTCATGTATCAAAATGCTACGTTCCAAACAGAGATGTTAACTATTTCAAATAAATCTATTTCAAATGCAAAATAGAAAATGCAAAATGCCTATTTTCATTTTACATTTTAAATGCATTTACCGAAAACCATTTTGCATTTTGATTTGAAATGGTTTTTTTCATTATTTTGTATTTGAAAATGCAAAATACAAGAAAATTTTTTTTATATTGTAGCAATTTTTTCTTTTAAAGAGATTCTTCGGCTAATTCATTTTCTTTTAAATTTTACCAAACTTTATGGGAAAATATTCATTTTTACGTACTAAAAACGGAAATTTTCAGGTTCAAAGTTTTAATATTTACATAGGATTTCACATCAAGCATTCGAAAATGAGATATTTTATTTAATTGCTGAAAAAGTTTTCTTACAATTTTTTCAAAAAATTAGTTTATTGTATAAAGTCAAATTAATAGAATAATAATTATAAAACAGTTTCATAAGGGATACAATCTTATTTTATGGAAAAGTCAAAAAGTTACGTAAAAATAAAGTTCATTTAAAAAAAAGCATTTTATTTTGTAAAACCATTTTGAAAATGCGTATTTTATATTTTGCATTTGAAATAACTTTTTGAAAACTATTTTATATTTTATATTTGAAATACTTCTTGTGATACCATTTAGTATTTAGCATTTTAAATAGGTTTTAAGACCCATTTTTAACATTTCTGATTCCAAATGATAGTAACTAAACAAGTGTAACGATTGCTAAATTTAAAACGAGTAAGTTATACTCCGGCTTTGTGTTAAATCCGTTTTATTAGAGTCCTAAGTATTACACTGAAAAAATTTCGAGTGCCGTACAATCCCAATCATCGGAAAGTAAAGGAACTCTTTGGATGTGTTTGGATGTGCTACGATCTCAATTCGGGAAATCTACGTTCCCATGTCGGTGGCGCTGAACAACCCAAGATTTGAGACTCCAAACTTTGGGACTGTATTAGCCGCATCTTACGCGCTCAGCACGCCCGAGTTAGAATTGTATCTCCTCCAAATTAAATTCGTATCGCATTCGTGAATTTTCGGTCTACTTGGAACGGCTCGTCACCCAAGACTTTTTCCGTGTAGGAGGTCTTATTTTTTTACTTTCTTACAACTACAATTCTAATATAGCTGACATATGCTATCCAGGGTATAGGTGAACATTTTTTCACTCTACAAATTTGCCTCACCTGGGCACTAAGTCAGCAGCACCGTAAATTTTCGCTAAGCTTAATATTAACAGACTGAAAAGGGAATCTTCAATTGGAAGCAGAACTTTCATGTGATCTTTGTTGAAAATACATGAGGCCTATCCTCACTAACGTGAGTTAGTGTAATAAAATCTAAATAGAAGAGGTAGTGATACCGCTCCAATTTGGATTTTATCGGGTCCAGTACGACTGCAACTAATAGCTTCTCCATTTCCTGAAACACTTTTCTTCTGCATTCTGGGCATTATTTATCACATGGCGTTACTTTCCATGTAAAATTCCACACTTACAAAGGTGTTATTTCTCTTTTCCTCACATCAGAGATTTACTTTCCGCATACTAAGCAAGAATCAATTTATTGTTTCACTTTTACATTGTAAATCTGATTCCAATATATTTTATTTTCTAGAACACCCTTGGTTCCTGTTATCTCATTTGGAGAAACCGATCTTTACGATCAGATAAATAATCCAGAAGGATCGCTTGTGAGAAAACTTCAAAACAAATGGCAGAAAATGACTGGAGTTGCGCCAGTTTTGGCATTAGGACGAGGAATATTTCAATATACTTTCGGAATTGTCCCTCATCGAAAACCGATTACAGTTGTTGGTATGTATACATAATATTCGTTGTTTTTTTAGTTTTCTTAAACTTAAATTTAATTCTTTTTACTTGTATGTTAGTTTTCAAATCTAAAAATATTTTAATCTTTGACGAATGTCAATTATTTGATAATCAAAGAAAATTATAATACAATTAAGCTATCAAACACAAAAGATAACCTACTAATGTAATTAGTTATCTGCGTCGGTATGATAATATAAGACATACTCAATAAAATCTCAATTGAGCGAAAAAACAAAACTTGATATTTCAATGCTGATTTAATTTGTAAAACTGCGGGCAGATGAAGTGCAGTCATGTACATTCTGGGTAGACCTTGTTTTTGTGGTGGGGTTTATCACTAAAGGACATCCAAACATCAAGCGCAGAAACATTTTTTGCAAGGATGTGACTCTAGAATTAAAAAAGGAGGTTTTTGCTGCGGAACTTTCTAAAGCAGTTGGGAACATGGTACATGTAGAGTACCAGTATAGATACAGTCGGTAAATCGAAGAGTTACTTTCGAGATCCCCGACTACGATTGTTTCACCCAGGAAGAATTCCCAGGGGAACGTACTACAGATGTCCTCCCTACGAGAATAGCGCACTTGGGATACCCTAGCAGACTGCATCTAGGGCCGTCCGGCAAGCCACCCTCAGTGGGACGAACGTGTTTTCATCTCTCTGGACTAACATACCTGTAGTGCCTGAGTTTTAACTCATAACGCCTGCCTTGGTATCATCTAGTACGAAGGGGGATGGTCTGATCGCATCGGTCCTTGAATAATTAATCAAGCAATAGTCCATCACTTGTCATAATAGCTGGCTAAAGAGGAAAGGGTTTTTGGACCAAATCTTTATGTCGTACCCAATTAGAAAGAGAGTGATGGTCAATGGGTGTCATTGGTGCATTGATTACGGTCACATAGGAAGAGATTGTAAGGCGGCGCGGCGGACAGATCGACTGTGTGCTTCAGGTGCGGAGAAGTAATACAAAACTAACGTTTAGTTTCAAAATAAAAGATATAAACGTAAACAATACAATAAATCTGATTTTCGACAGGGTGACATTTGTCGAAATATTGGCGCATAGATTGATGGAAGGTCAGGGACAAATGCGTTGAGTAGCTAATCCCAAACCCAGAATTTTTAAATATTATTCGATCAAATAATTTACGCATTAACGTCACATAATTATTTTCTCGTCGCAGATCAATTCACTATAAATTTTTCTACATTATTATAATATTACTTAAAAGTTTTTTAAACAATTTTACTTTAACATTTAATGTATTTTGTTTTTAGTTGGTGCTCCTCTGGATCTTCCTAAGTTAGAAAATCCAAGCACAGAAGATATTGACGAATATCACGAAAGGTTTACCGAACATCTGATTAATTTATTTGAAAGTGAAAAATCGAAGTATTTAAGTAATTATGAGAGTGTTTCGATAACTTTTGAATAAATGTGAAGTGTGGTAAATGGAAATGATAAAAAATGTTTAAGTTGCATAGAGGTAATTGTTTTCTATAAATTTTTATTTGTTAAATAATTTGTATTACAATCAAATATACATTATTGTATAAAAATCTACACATTAGGTGAGGTCCTCTTTTTTCTAGAATCTAACTTTTATTTTAAACGTAGAGCAAAGTAGGTTAACGTTACTATTGATATAAATATTTTCAGTTGGGGATTCTTTGTTAATATATTACTTGTAGTTATTTATTGATAAAATTAATGAATCATTAGACCAAGGAAGATGACTAGCAGCATCATACCAGCTGACCAAATAGTTCTTTGGATTATCTAAAGACAGTTATAATTGTTATTTTGTTTAAATAGAAGGAGTTTACACCGTAAGCCTTAAATATAAGCCTCCGCGCGCATAAACGGATATGCCTCCATGAGGATATACTTGCGTCTGCGCAAAGTGTTTGCCTGCAGCTGTGTTGTGAAAGAGTTTGCCTTGACCACGTGTTCGCGCAGGCGCAAATATATGCTCCTGGAGGCATATCCGTTTATGCTCGCGGAGGCTTATATTTAAGGCTTACGGTGTAAACTCCTTCATATTAAAATATAAAATTCGGATTAGATTACTAAAATTATAAGGACTTTCGGGTTAAATTTGTTTACCTTATCTTGCCATGCTTTGTTTTTCATGCACATCCTAAATCCCATCCTAGAAAAATGAACCGTATCGTATAGTGGCATCCATTTGTTAGGAAAGTATCTGTATAACATTGTGTCTAAACTTTTTCTCAACATAAAAGACTTTCTAGCAACTAAGTCTCTCATCTGCAAAGTAAATCATTCTTTAAATTGTGAGTCATTTTAAACGAAAGTATAAGTCCTAAAACATCTATATTTCAAGCCTAATGGATTAAATGTAGATCGTAAATTTAAAAAAAATATTTTACGGAAGGGTATAACAATTGCGGTTTAACATCAAGCATCAGCAACTTAATTGCAATGAAGAGTGTGATTTATTACCTCCAAATAATTATACATCGCCAAATCACAAATGGCGTGAGCATCGTCGCATCGAACTTCAGTAAACATTGGTAAAACTTTGGAGAGATCCGAATCGTAGCGTTGCATTAGTTCGTCAAGTAGAAGTACATCCTCAAAGCCCTAATTTAATAAAAGTATCTATTGAATTATAAATCCAGTATATAGACAAATACTATACTTAAAATTACTAAAAATATAACTTACAGCGTTCATCCCCTGGGCATAAAATGGAACCATGGCATGGGCAGCGTCTCCAATGATAAGAGCAGTGTTTCCAACATGGTATGGTTTACACTGTAACGTGTGCTTTTACTGAAGAAAGTCTTTTTATTTTTTAAACATAACATATTTTATTGTAATATTTTAAAATGAGTATAAAGTTACACATATATCACCTTAATTGATATCAGAGTTTTTGGTTCGGTCTCGAAGAAGTCATCAACTAATTTATTTTCTCCAATCAAGGGTAAAACATCAGGAAATTGTTCTCGATAGAATTGCAAAAGTCTTTCGGGTGTATTAAGGCTGTCCAAAGTTTTGAACGGTGCAAACAAATTACCGGTGAAAGATTTATCACTATTGGGTAAGGCGATCATCATAAATTCTCCTCTTGGCCAAACGTGTAGGTGATTATTACTCATCACAAACTAAGTAGACAAGTTTTAATGGTCAACTTTCGATCACCAAGATCTAATCTAATAAGTTGTGAAATATTTTAAATCTGGATGAATGCGTTATTATTCATTTTTGCTTACTTTATCTCCACTTGCAGGTGGGACAAAAAGTTCCACATAACCGTGATCAATATACGTTTGTCCACAATCATAACGAGGACGTTTTGACATTATCTTTCTTACTGTTGAGAATGCACCGTCTGCTCCAATTATAAGATCAGCATGAGTTTCTAATATTTCTTGCGTGTGGGTACTAAAAGTTTATAATTAATTTTACTTTCTTGGTCTGTTGTGAAATATTTTCAAGCTAACAGGCGCGGATCCAGGGGGGCACAGGGGCATGCCCCCCCCGAGAATTCAAACTTCCTGGAATTTTTTAAATAAAAATTCCATTCATATAAGGTCATCCAGCTTACGTCTAGCAGATGGGCCCCCCAAGAACCTTGTCTGGATCCGCCCCTGCAAGCTAAACTTTTTTAAAATTGAACTGCCGGATTAAAGAAAGGCACAATAATCAATGTAATTCAAATGGATTATACATTCTTTGATCCGTGGCTTAATTGCTTACTTTAAAAACTTCATTTTTCCACTTTCCAAATCAGCTTCTATAAGTTTTTCACTGAAGTTCAGTTGGACGTTGGGGTATTTTTCAGCAGCTGAAATTCATATTATGTCATTTACTCTATTTCTGAAGATCTTTTCACATACAGTGTATGGATATCTAATGCTAACATTTAGTAAATTCTTGGTATACTTTATTCAGTAAAAAAGATAGCCAGTGGAGAAGGCAGGAAACGGGAAATCTTAAATAGCAGGGCCACAAGAATCATTTCGTAACCTTCTATAGAGAACCCAGGTGATAGCATATGCGATTTAGATTGCCTTACTCAAATAGAAGACGTCTAGGAAATTTTAGAAAAAGTATTTCAGAAACTCTAAATCAGGATGATGATGAGGATCATTGTTGCCGACGAGAACAAGGGAAATTGAAATTTAAGTAAGAAGAAGAAAGGAGGAAGAGCGGCGGAGCAAGAAGAAGCGATCAAGTGCTTAAGGCAGTGATGATTGAGACCTAACGGCAAGAGGTCATTGACTGGAAGGACTGACCCGAACAGAAAAGGCTGAATTGATGATTTGAATTTGAAGGTTGACAAAAATTGTATTTGGCCCCCTGACCGCGGATATGTGTGCATTTTGCGAAGATCACCTGACTATGAAGAGGTGCATTGAAACCGCCTGAGTAAATAGGAGCCAATTTGTTTAATTAAACTATTAAATTATGTTACGAGTTTATTTTTAGTTGTGCCATGAACTGACATCATATCATCATGAAACTGCTTGAGAAGGTAACGTGAAACTTGCAGCATTTACAGATTTCAAGGAGGATCACTAACTGCTACGATCGAGTTTCGTAACTTTTTAATATCTTACAGAAAATAAATAAACTATTCAATATCAACGTAGTTAGTTATAATAACACAAACATTTATTGTAATAAACCATGAACAAAATACAATTGGATTATAACTCACCCTTGTTTTAAATTAAAAACAAAGATGATTTTAAGAAGTTCTTTAACAAAAGATGGCCATCTTTTGGATTTCGAATTTCTGCCCGTATAATGTATACTATTTTTCTTTATACACGGTCGAAAGTACGCTAGCTAATTTATTTTTTAAGAAAATTGCAATCGTGTTTCATTTGAAAGCCGGCCATATTTATCTTTATCACAATTTATTAATCTTTAATGATGATACCGTAACATCATTGCGACGTAATTATACTTATATTTATGAAATAATATTTTATGGTATTTAATATTTATACAATTATTATTTATTTAATATTTATGATCATCAACGATTGTCACCCTCTTATGAAGACACTCAACTGTCTAATACAGGGACTAATCTCATGCGTCTAAATTAATCAATAGAAAAAAACTGATCCACAAACAATAAAAGTGGGTGATATGACGCAGTATCCCCTTGCAAAAGGAACCAATAAAAGCTGACACCCTTACGGAATTCATCAGTCAAGAAGTCATCACAGAATCAACTTCGTGTCTTCTTCGCGTTAGTCCAGAAGACACCCCCGAATCAACTAATTAGTTGTGTACTGTCATCAAGTTTCTTCTTTGACTACAGTCTAGAAAACCTCTTCAAGTACCAAGTGCCTTCTTCGAGTCTCGTCTTCATCAAATTCATTCAAGGCGATAATTTCTAATGCGAGGCACATTTCTGTTTTTCTAAGGACTGCATTACCTCGACATCAACGTCAAATAAATAATTCGGTCACTCCTAGGCTAAGATGTGTTTAATCTAATTTACATGGACACCTGGACTCCGGATCTTTCACTTTGGCTGCCACAAAAATAATTTGAGCGAAATCTACTACACTCCGTTTCCATATTCTCGATTGATTCCACAAAATTATAATTTTGTTTCAGTGTGCCTGAAGTCGTATGGATCTACTCTTTCTCTCTCATTGTAATTGTAAAGGATTCAAATAAAAACTTTAATTAATGAATTTAATTATTACTAATTTAAATTATTTAATTTAATGAATTCGTTTTTATTTACCTTACAACTAACTGCTCGGACGTAAAAGATTGATAATTAAAAACTTTAATAATTTAAATTCAATTTAACAGTTCCTCTTTCTTAAACCTGTCTCTTAAAATCAGAGCCTGTAAATAAATCAGGTATGAATCACCGATGCTGGACAATATATAGTATAATACATTATAAGGACAGAAAGTTCGAAATTCCTGCACTCGCGTAGGTTAGGGCCTACAGCTGTGTTGTGAAAGAGTTTGCCTTGACCACGTGTTCGCGCAGGCGCAAATATATGCTCCTGGAGGTATATCCGTTTATGCGCGCGGAGGCTTATATTTAAGGCTTACGGTGTAAACTCCTTCTTAGTTTCGGGTCGACACGAAACTAAACTCAGTTTGATAATTTAGTTTCGTGTCGACTTGAAACTAAAGTCACTTTGTTAATTTAGTTTCATGTTAACTCAAACACTAAAACGAAACTAAACTTTCGAGACGGTCCCTGCTATTTTTCTTTATATACGGTCGAAAGTACGCTCGCTAATTAATTTTTAAGAAAATTGCAATCGTGTTTCGTTTGACAGCCGGCCATCTTTATTTACTTTTGCTCCTCGCTTCAACGCTTCTAGCGGACACTCGTGAAGCTTTGGTTTTTTTTCTCCCCAGTAGCACGTAATATTGGGAACATATCAGTAACATTGAGGCAACATTGGTAATGTTTAGGCAGTGTTCTCACTGTTGCTGTAATATTACGTGCTACTGGGGCTCTCTCTCTCTTGCAAACAACATTCGCCTGTCTTGACATTAGATGCACGAGCGAAGCGAGTGCTTCTGGTGGGGTCAGGCACGAAAAAAATGTGAAAGATAATAGTATATTCTATACTAATAGTATATTAGTAATTTTACTAATTGTTTAAAATTAATTTGGACAGAGAAACAAATTTATAATTTATCGTTTAATAACATTATATTGATACTCTTCTATTAAACTGTAATATTCACTACAATAACTAATTTTCTAACTCAGTGGAGAAACAAAAATATCTTATTATATTACTTCATTTTCATTATTACACTACAAGATTCACTAAAATGGTGTTTACATTTATACCGAACTTAAACTGTTGAAGCGCCAACCTTCATATTGTATTTGTTTTTATATATGTTACAAATTTAACTATTAGAATTAGGAGTACGTTATGTACGAAAGGGCATGTCCCGTTATTTTTCAAATAAATAAATATTAAGCAACAAGGGTATAAAGGCAGCCATTATGATATTTTTTATTCCTAATTCACAAAAGTGGCGATTTCAGATAGCAGACGTCAGGGAATAAAAGTCAGTCACTTGTTCGACTTATATGAAAATGGCGGCCGTTTTCTCCCTTGGGCAAAAATAACGCATGGGATCAGCGGTTATGTTTGCACATGGGAGAAAATGGACGCCATTTTCATATGGTCGAACAAATGAGTGACTTTACTCCCTGTCGTCAGCTATCTAAAAGCGCTATTTTTGTGCATGTGGGATAAAAATTAATATTATATTTTCAATAGAATTTTTCTGTTGGTAACAAATTAATTTTATGTTTTTGAAATTCTACACGTTCTAATGAACAAAATTTTATTATAACATTGTGACACGTATTAAAAAAGAAATTACAAAAGTTTTAATAATTTTATTTTAATTTTTAATGTTTATTAAAATAATTATATGAGCAAAAGATTTCGTTCATTTCAATATTCAGAGATTGTATATAATAAATTTATAAAGTATAAAAAGTTTTCTTGATTATTTTTTTTCTCATTTTATATTGCAATAACAATTACTCGATTGTCATGGAACTCGAAATTTTCTTATTTACCGACAGTGGTGTTTTTACCGACAAAGAATTCTTTTACTCCCGCTATAATAGAGGGCGTGTGTGATAAAATCAACCATAGAGATATTATAAATAGAGTGGGGAAGGTATAGGCGGCAGCGTGTGGGGGAAGTGTCCTGCCATAAACAGAATGGGTTGGAGGGAGAAAGAAGATTTAACACCAGTATCTGTCCTTCAATGAGCTCCAGCGCAAGAGAGACACCTACTGGTGCTAAATCTTCTTTCTCTTTCTATCAAGCGGACGCATACATGCAAACCATCCCCACTCTATTTATATTATCTCTATGAAATCAACCAAAGCACAAATGTTTGACTTTCTGCTGCGAAATTGAAGAGGGAAGTACGTACTTTCGACCGAGAATGAAGAAAAAAAATATATATCTATCTTTTTCTGTCTCACGCGAAGCGCCACGGAAAAGCGGAGCGACTGGGTAAGTGTGGAATCAGCATCATAGTAAAATCACCTGGAGCGGGACTCTGAGTTAGCGCGCACTATAATAGCGCTCACTATAATAGTGCCATAGCGCCACTATAATAGTGCTCACTATAATAGCGCTACTATAATAGCGCTCACTATAAAAGTGCCATAGGGCTCACTATAATAGCGCCACTATAATAGTGCTCACTATAATAGCACCACTATAATAGCGCTCACTATAATAGTGCCATAGCGCCACTGTAATAGCGCGACGGACTCTTTTCAAAACCTATGTTCCCTCGCCTAAAAAATTAACGTTAAGAGTTCCTCAACTCCTACGAAAAGAAGACAATAAGGAAAACGCTAACGGTCGTATCAATAAATGTAGAATTGCTTCTCAGATCGTTCTTACTCCCACTAAAATTTTTGATTTGAAACAATTTAAAAACGTGTAATGCGAGTGTACACGAAAATCTTTGTATTTTTTGTCGTTTTTGTTCAATTCACATTCATCTGGATTTTTTGGTCGTTATTGATTATCAGCTGGTTGTGTTTCGTCAACGGTCTGTGTCGAAATTTGAAAAATCTAGTTAGATATTTAATCTAGAAAATTTTTCCTTTTTAAACGGGAATCGAAAAAGTTAAATTAATACACAATATAAAATTTCTTTTAATTTAACACAGGTTGTATATAATTTGGGATGTGTCTAGTTTTCTTCTGAGACATAACTAAACACTAGGAGAGGTGCGTTTAGGTTAATGAACCAGTATCACCCCACTGACTAAACTTGCAAGGCGTCAAAGATTAACTTGGTAACAATCGAGTACAATAAACTTTATTTAGAATTTCCTTACTCAATTACGAGTTAACAACAGTGATTGGCTGAAGAAAATCTGGGCATTTGCCTGTGTGTTTTGGCGTTACCAAGATGGATAGGTAGCACAGTCTGACCGGAATTATTGAAGCTCTTGAATGTAATTTAAAATATTGAGGTCTGAACGAATAGACCGCAAGTTTAATGGAATCTAAGAGTTTTCGAAGAAGTGTTAAGTAAAATTATTAAGGTTAAAACCCCAAATATAGAAAAAGAGAAAAGGAATAAGAATCAAGGTAATTATTACAGTGCGATAAAGGTGAATCATAGAACAAAGATAAAAAGGATATATATAAATTTTTGAGAGAAATATATTAGGGAGGACACCCTTCGGGTAAATGACCAAACAGGCATGTTAAACAATTTTTAAATAAATTTCTTATAACTCAATGTAAAGTTAACAATTATTAAAAATGCTAAAAAAAATAATTATACAGTATAATTAATTTCACTTTTTCATCAAACTTAACAGGGAAACAAAGTATTAAAAAATCAATTTATTTATTCATCTCATTTTGTAAAGAGAACAATATCATAAACGCCGTTGAGGGAATTTTATTATGTACGTGTTTAAAGTCAATGCTACCAAAGAAATGCGATATGGAAGAATTCTTGTGGCTTCACATGCAACTTTGTAATTCTATACTGATGCAAATTTTTACATACACTTGTGTAATGTTCTATTGACTTAAAACCAATACTTATTACAATAAATTAAAAAAGTTGATTCTCTGGCATTATTTAAAAACCATAAAAAAAAACCACAAGTAGAATATTAAGAGTAAAAATAAAATATTAAACAATAAATTTTTTACTCACCGTCCAATAAAACTTTGTTCAAGTACATTCTATTTACGGAATAAATGCACTGAAAAAAATTGTTTCTTTTTAAATGCAGTTAAAATCTTATATATTAATATAATAAATCAAAAGTCAATTATTTTTATTTTTATAAAAGTAAAAATTTAAAATATAGAAAAAACTTACGTTCTTGTGAACGCGATCGTATATCATCTCACTGAGTTTTCCACTTTTCATGTGTATCATTCTACCTCGCATGGGCATAGCATGATGATTGATAATCAAATCTTCTAGACCAACTTCTCTTAGAGCTGCTCTTCCACGGTGAGAAAGACTGAGATCTATGCTTTGCCCTCTTGAGTCTGCTACCCGTATATCTAAAATATATTAAACATTTTAAAACTGTGTATTACATTATACGATTTAGGGAAGTTAATTTTTTTCGCAACCTTAATTTCAATGCGTCAGTTTTTATTATTTATTATTTTAACTTTAATTACTTATTGAAAACAAATTTTGGTCTTATAAAAACACTAGTTTATTTTAAAATGAACTGGAATAGAACTTCATTTAAATTATTTAAGAACATTATAAATGCAGGGTTAGTACAAATTTCATTTTTCTACTTTATTTATTTAAAAAATATGAGTTTGGGAACAATGCTACTTTTATTCTGATAAATATTTACCTGGTCGATATTCGTATATGCGAACTTTGTGATCTCTTTTTGCAAATAAACAAGCAATTAACGCTCCTACCTGTGAATTATGAAACATAAATTTTTATTTATTATTTTAAAGTGGTTAATTTTACTCATTTTGTAAATTTTTTTTGGTTATACATTTTATATTGTGTCCAACAACTTTTAAATGTTCTAAGAACGTTCTAAAATGTCCAGAATAACTCTAATTGTCTTTAGGACATTAAAAAGAGGACCATATTATGTTATATGTCTGACCTAGAGACGACAAAATGGTTTTGAAACATTTTTGGAAGATTCTAAGGACATGTTTGGCACATATTTTGGTCCTTCTTTAATCTGTTTTTGTATGTTTCTAGGACGATTTTCAAAACTCTATTTTGGAATCAGTCGATTTTGTATTTCTAATTCTTTGTATCATGATTTTTCAGCTAATGCTCCATTTTAATGAATAGCAGTTGGGGGAAAAATATCGAGTAAAGTTCATTAAAATACATATTATGTAACAGCTCCAAACCACAATTTAACTAGGTAACCCATTTGCAATGTATCAATCTATATTATCTAACATATAATGTTTGCCATCGTCATATAACAGATGACGGTATTGTATTTCTAATATCGGAACTTAGAATACTATTGCTTAAAGTTTTCTTTTACTATTAAAAATTAAATATCACTATCCAGATCTTCCTAGAGGGAACCAGAGAAAAAAATTTCTATTATTCACATCACTCTATTAATTTAAATTATTTTGACAATCAGTAAACCAGCAACGGTATTTCTAGAGATAATAATTTTCATAATTAATATCAAATTTTGGTAATGAATACATTTTTCAATCATTATCACTGCCGAAACGAGTTAACAAACCGATCACTATAAAATAAAGCAGTCGAATTTTGAGGTAAATAACTTTACAATTAACTGCATACGGTTTCACGGCTGATAATTAATTACAAATTTCTGTTACGATATTGTTATTAGTAATTATTTTTAACGTATGTAGTTTATAATTAAACAAATTTTTGTTCACTTATTTCCTCTTTAGTAATATTAATCAAAATTGTTCTCTTCTAAAAAGGACAAAGCATTATGTATAATTAAATTTTTCACCAAATTTTACAATTAACTGAAAATTCTCTACTTCTAACAGTTAATGATCTGTAATAAACTATGTCGACTAAATATAAACAATATATTAAAATACATTTTATTATTATTATTATTATTATTATTATTATTATTATTATTATTATTATTATTATTATTATTATTATTATTATTATTATTATTATTATTATTATTATTATTATTATTATTATAACTCACAGAAGTTTGCTAAAACACATTAACTTTTTTAATTTCAATAATTATAACTAATAGGAATAACTTAATTATTATTAGTTAATTTGACTCTAAAAATTAAAAATTAATAATATTGTCCTAAATTTCATAAAAATTGATATTAATATTTTATTTAGAATACAAATTTCTCGCAAAATTTTATCATTGTCAAATCGCTATCTCAATTATGAAGTGGATAGGAAAAAAAATCGATATCGTTCTTAATTATTTACAGGGCAATTATATAAAATTAATATAAATTCTTTACGACTCTAAATTAAATTTAAGTTCATTCAACACGTATAATAATATTTCATAATTAATTTTTAATCAAGTGATTAGTGGAACGGTAAGCTTTCAATTTTTCAATATTTAATGTATCTTTTAATTGATATTAAAAATCAGCAAAAACAATTTATATTTAACTTTAAATAACCTTATTTTTTAGGTAAATAAATAACACAGGTCAACAAAAAAAGACTTACTTTTTTTATGAGATAGCAGAATGGTTTCCTATGTATTTTTGGACGCTGAACACGATCCCGACTTCCAAATTTGCCCATCACGTCAGGATTTTGAGAAAAGTGGGGGTAAAGACCCCAAAAACGCTTTTTTGAGGATTTTCAACATTTCTTTTCTCTTTAACCTGACGTGCTAGAGACTTCCACAAGGTCTTAAATTAAAGCTTGTAATGTGCACTACAAGACCAATATCCATAAAATAAAAAAAAATTAAAATTTTTTTCAAAAAATGGGGTTGAAGACACCAAAAATTTGTGTTTTTGGATTGCTTTAATAGACTTCTTGCAATCGCTTGGATTCGCTTGAAAATGGGTACTTGGGGTTTTTGGGGTCGCTGATTACGAATCCAATATTTGTTTGCAAAAATTTAAAACGGCGAAACCAAGATGGCAGATGTAAAAATTAAGAATTGCTTGGATTCGCTTGAAAATTGTTATTTCAGGGTTTTTGGGGTCGCTGATTACGAATCCGCCATTTTTAATTTTTGCAAACTAATATCGGATTCGTAATCAGTGACCCCAAAAACCCCAAGTAACCATTTTCATGCGAATCCAAGCAATTGCAAAAAGTCTATTAAAGCAATCCAAAAACACAAATTTTTGGTGTCTTCAATCCCATTTTTTTAAAAAAAATTTTTATTTTTTTTTATTTTATGGATATTGGTCTTTTAGTGCACATTATAAGCTTTAATTCAAGACCTTGTGGAAGTCTCTAGCACGTCAGGTTAAAGAGAAAATAAATGTTGAAATTCCTCAAAAAAGCGTTTTTGGGGTCTTTACCCCCACTTTTCTCAAAATCCTGACGTGATGGGCAATTTTGGAAGTCGGGATCGTGTTCAGCGTCCAAAAATACATAGGAAACCATTCCGCTATCTCATAAAAAAAAAGTAAGTCTTTTTTTGTTGACCTGTGTAATGTTATGGCCTATTACATTTTTCACTTTTGATTGATTTTTCATTTAAAATTAATACTTTTTGATTAGATTATTAGTTTTACTAAAATTAAAAAATCTATAATTACTCTTTATTCATACTGTTAACTAAATGGTATAAAATTGCAATGAATTGACACCAAAAATGTGGATCAAATCAAAAATTTTTTAGTATCAATTTGATAATTTTAAGAAAACTGAAATTATTAGAACATTATACATTTAAAAATTTCCCCTTTAAAATTGTTTCTTGCAATTTGTAATTATTCTTAATGTATATAAATAATTATGTTATCAAAAAATTATATTTTTTTACTAACCAAACCACCACCAACTACCGCAACATCAAGACACTTTGATTTATCCTCCATGACGTCCGAGCTTGAACTGAAGCCGGTTAACGAAGTGCGAGACTAGCTTTACCTACCCTCGTACAAATTTTTTGTCCTGATTCACCTTCGACTATGTAAGATTTACATAGATTATATAAAAATATATCTGCACATAGTTTCTAAACCTCAAATTACATAATCGTATTTTTTAAAAAATTATATTCTTTCCCTGTGAATCTAAAGTGTGTATTATACTTTAACTTTATATGACTTTTTAAGAGAAATTTCAAAATGTTTTATTTCTTTTATAGAATATTTAAAAATAAAAATGTATTAGAAATAGCAACAAGCAAATAAAGAAAAGATATAATATCCTTTTTTAGAAATTAATATCTATTTTCAATATCAGAAAAATTTTTCTATAGAAGAAAAATATTTTATTTTCAGAATTGTATATCTAAATTTGAAAATAATTACATTAAGTCATTCTTTTTCAAAATTGACAAAGGAGTATAAAATACAATTTATTTTCAATTACAATATTTTTATTTCAAAAGTACCATTTTTAGAGAAATAAAAATAAAATGATAAATTCTGATAAGTTGGTGAGAATACTATAACAATTTACAATAATAAATTGAACTTCAAAATTTATAAGTATACTGAAAATGAACATTGATCTTTAATTATTTAACTGTTATCAATTTTGAGTAATAAGTTAAAAATAATAGGAATTGAACAATTATTTTCCTAATATTTCATCAAAGATAAGCAACGTACAAAATTTTTTCAAATAATTAAATATTAAAAAAAAATTATAGTGGATACTTTTTATGTGAAAAAAGTAATAGTCTCTTGGTAAATCTTTTTTTTTTACCAAATATAATTTCTTCATTTTTCTATATTTTATCTTAAATAATAAAATGTGAGCGTTGTCTCCGAAACCACTTTCGCGAAATTATATAATAAAAACAAATCTTATCAGTGACAAAATTTAACAGATCTTTTTCTACATGCAAGTCAATGTATATTTTTACTAAAAGATAAAGATTTTAATAATCAATTTAACACTACCGAACATAAATGGGTGATTCTACAAACGAAGGACGAAAATCAAGAAAATTTGGACACAACATTTTTTTCTCATTTATGGTCTGAAAAGTATTTTAACTTCAAGTTAATGGTACTAGTAAAGACATACATAAGTGGCCAGACAAAATATTAAAAATTACAAAATTTATGGTTATTTATAAACAATTTATCCAGAGAATTAAAATCGTGTCAAGAAAATTCCCATTAACATAAAAATTAATGAATGGATTTTTATAAAATTGGTTACTTGGGGGTTTACGGGGTTGCTGATTAAGAATCCAATGTCAGTTTTTCAAAATTCAAAATGACGGATCCAATATGGCGGACGACTTTTGAAAAAACTTATCGTATTCGTCTAAAAATCGTTACCCGGGGGTTTTCGGGGTTGCTGATTAAGAATTTAATGTCAGTTCTTCAAATTCAAAATGGCAGATCCAATATGGCGGACGAATTTTGAAAAAACTTATCGTATTCGTCTAAAAATCGTTACCCGGAGGTTTTTTGAGGTCGCTGATTAAGAATCTAATTAAATTAATTTTAAAAAATTGTTCGATTTTTATTAAAATTGATTTTGTAAAATATATTTAAACGTTAAATAAGTTATTTACCAAGAGGAAAAGTTAGAACTAACAATTTACAAGTTACCACCATTTTCGCAACTTTTGAATCAGATAGTTCAAGATTATTTAAAATACGGAATACTTGATGCATACGGAAATTTCCGAGGACTGAAAAGAAATCGAGTACCCGAAAAAATCGAATACTAAATACTTTGAGTACACCTCTGGTTTTTAACGTTGAGTTTAATTTTGAATTTACTTTTTAATAATTTATTA